TAAATATTTAAATAATGCTGCCCAAACAGTCCATAGGCATTGTCTTTCCAGGCACAAGTCATTTATTATAAAAAAAAAAAGAGAGAAAAAAGAAATTCTGCTTTTCTTTTTGATATTTGGTGGCAGTTTATCAGAAAGTGACTATTCAGTTCTCTTTGACACATTGGATGAGAATGCTGCTTTATTTGCAAATAAACCAATATTATAGTTTCAATGTAATTTAATTAACTTTAAATTTCAGGATGGAAACAGCTACTAAGCCAAGAATGTCATCAGTCATTCTTAACCATCTGAACTTATTTTGCATCCTTAATCATAACTAAACCCAACTACTACCTTGCTAAATAATAATAATAATAATAATAATAATAATGATAAGCAGCTGATTAGTAGTTATTTGTGCAAAGTTAATAGTTTGCTAACAGCGTGACTTAAAATAAAGTGTGACCATTTGTGTGTGTGTGTGTGTTATGTAATTTGATTCATATTTGAAGGATATTTAGGAGAATGTGAATAAAAAACAATGTTTTTTTCCCCAAGTTTTGTTTGAATCATTTTGGACCTACGCCTGCTGTTTCAGTCCAATCAGACTGTCACATACCTCCTGGACACGGATCTGCAGATCAGATAGAGTGTTTTCCAGAGTCTTCCTTTCAGAGACGGCTGTGTTTAGTGCAGCTTCTTTAGCGTTCAACAGGGCTTCAACATCTTTTAGTCGGTTCTGAGAGCTGGTGAGGTCAGCATCTTTCTTGGCATATCTGTGACAACAGATCATAATCATAAGCTGGACAACCGGTACTCGTTTTATATCAACTGACAGAGAATGCTGTATATATTTTACTATGCTTTGCAGAGATCTACTTTATGTTACCACACATCATGGCTGTATTCAGCCAATTATACAGCCCTGAACATAATGTAAGAGACCATTACAATTTATTATCCTTCACTGTATTTTTCATATTTAGAGATTCATGTCGAGTAAAATTCATTTGAGTTTTACTTTAGAAACCACCTAGGTCTTTAAGATTTAAATAAGGAATAATATCATATAGCGCATTTATTTGCAGAAAATGACAATGGGTAAAGTACTCAATGTTTTCGGACCTTAAATACTAGAATAAATATGCATACTTTATATAAATAAATATTTAATCATGTTAAAATAATATATATTTTATATTGACCTACTATCACTTTCTGCAAATGCACGCTGTCATTTTAAATTTAGAAGACATATTTGTAAGTGGCTTAAAAATATATATATACCCAAATCAAATTAACATTTTACTTGAAACATCCAAAAAGTTTACCAAGAATAGCCACATTTCAACCATCCATTCAGGTTCTCGAGTGTGCCCCTTCAAGACCAATAACTTTAGTTTAAAAGGGGGTTAACTACTTCTTGAGTGCATCAAAGAACTTCTTGATATCGATATGAAGCATTACTCCGGTTTTTAATCTAGGGTCTACCACATTGCACTGGCAGAAAGCATAACAGTACAAGGGAAGATGGAGGAGGAACTGAAATCTCTTTAGATTTCTTAGTTTAAGTAAATTAAATAGATAAATGCATTTTCTTTTGTAAAAAAATCATTGTGCATACTTTTGGACTAAAAGCCCTATAAGGGTGTATTGTGCAGTTTGATAATTAACACAGATGCAACTGAATAAAGATGTCATATTTGTGGAAAAAAACAACAACATAAATATTAGTTTAACATGACTGAAGTTGCACGGACTGCACTCTTAAAACCAGAAATCTATTCAATTAATATTTTTACACTAAAACATCAATGCAGGAGTCTCTAATCCAGAAACAGAAAACCAATTTTCCCATCTCTATTGTCATCATGCTTGTTTCTACTTTCCAGTCCTGCTAATATAATTTTGGGGATGAACCTGGCTTCATGGCTTGAGGTTGGAGGTTTGAGCCAGGCTGGTCTGTTGATGGTTTGGTCTTGAACTAACTTAACTTGATCATGATTAGGAAGCTAATAATCAAGATACTTTCAAGTTTATTATTCGTGCTTCTGTAATCTCCAAAGCTCTTTCTCTTGAGGTGAACTTAAAATCTGCAGAATGCTGCTGGAATGTGTGGAATGTCTCACACACAGCCGAGACTGGCTAGAAGACATGATCGGTCCAACCATAAGCTTTTTCTTTCTAATTTTGAATGGAAGGTTTATTTAATCTTAAAAAAAAACAGTCATCTACAGACCCTTATATCACCACAAGCAAAAGTCTTTCCTTTCATTTTTAGAATAACAAATACATTTTCTTTTCATGAAATCTAAAGAGATTTTGTATATTCAAGAGGTGAATGAATCAAGGTTCAATCAAAAAAGTATTTGGAAGAGAAGTTATTGCTTAACATGACAAATCATTTTCATTCACGTCTGCATTGGCTAATCAAGCTCTTTCTAGGTATACTAGAAGCTTTCAAGCATGCATGTTGAAGGAAGATGGAGCTAAACTACGCAGGACACTGGCGCTCCAGGATCAAAACAGAGTTTGGGCACCCCTGGTGTAAAATCACTGATCAAACTTCTACATGAATTCAGAAGATGACTTGTTGGGTTTTGAGACAGTGGGTTCGGAAAGACATGTCAACTCTCATTTTCAGAATGACTTATTCTGACTTTAACTGACTCTATAACAGAATATCAAAACATTTGTTACTCACATTAGAAGACATACAAAGAGCCGATTCACACTGAAACTCTAAAGCAGCTGCTGAACATTCACATCTTCCAGCTGCTCTACACCAATAAGACTGTTCAGTGTAAAGCACTGAAACAACACTAACGACTGCTGCTCCTGTCAATCAAGCAACAAATGCAGGTCACAACTCTGATGAATAAATTAGTCTAAAATGTGCAATACGGTCTCCCAATGTGCATGGCAATAAAACTGGTTAGTGTGAGACCAATTCATCACACATCTACTCAAATCCCTAGTTAGAAAAGGACAGCTGACAGGTCCTATATGATGGCAAGCTTTGGGCTAACAACTGAGATTTCCAATGTAGAAAGCTGAAAAACTCTAAACAAAAAACTCTAAAAGGCCAGGAATGGGGTATACATTTTTTATTTAAGTGATCAAATTAAAAAAATTATTCTCTCAACTAATGGTAACACATAGCCAGTTGTTATGCATGTAGCAGTGATAGGTCAGCGGAAGCTGCTTGTAATAGTTTCTAAATAATTCTAAAAATCTGCTCTGGATAAAAAAAAAAAAACTTTATATTTTTAAATTACTCACGTGTGCTGTAGCTGCTCTTGCTCGCTTTTAATCTTGCCCAGTTCAATCTGCAATCGTGCGCGCTCCCGTGCCGTGTCATCAAGCGCCTTCCGTGCGTCCGCCAGCTCGGTTTCGTAGAGTGTTCTGAGCCCCGTGAGCTCGCGGTTCCGCACATCCTCTCGTTCTCTGATCTGTATTTGCAGGACGCTGTTCTCGGACTCCAGACTACGGACTGTGTCGATGTAGGCGGCAAGCCGGTCATTGAGCTGCTGCAGCTCCTCTTTCTCTTGCAGCCTGGAGATCCGCGCGGGGCTCAGTGGAGTGCTGCTGGTGCCGCGGGACAACGACTGCTGCCCGGCCGGAGTACACGCCGCGCTCGCCATTCTTCAGCTGAATTATGAGTAAAACAAGATTCACTGTGAATTATAAATGTCTGGTCATTCTTCGACTAAATAACCACCAGATGAGGATTTAACGTGAATAGCAAACATCTAATCAAATGAATCAACGCTAATGACTACGAATACGACAAAAACGATTTACCTTGTGGTAAAGTATAAAAACAAAACACCTAACAAAGTGTAACCCTAAAAGTGATCTTCTAGACACTACTGTATCCTACATTAGTATTAATGTGAAATATAAAATAAATGTTTAGGTGTCTTACTGTGAGTCCAGTGGCATGAAAGAATGAACTGAACTAATATGGCCGCTCATCAGAACCACGCTGACATGTGACCACATACGCTCAATCAGCAACCTCCACGTCATCAGACGGTCAACGGTGCAGTTGAGACAAAATTCAAACAGCACACAAATACGCGCTGAAAGTATCATTTAATATGCACGTGCCCTTCGCTCTTGTTATAATGAATATAAACAAAGTAACAATCCAATGTAGTCAGACTACATTTTACGCGATGATTTTGGTCGATAACTGTAATCAACAACAAAACAGAATTGAGATGTTAGAAAAGAAGAAAAAAAAAATAACGATTTTTTTTCCAACACATTTTTCCAAACATAATTGTTTTAATAACTCATCTCTAATAACTGATTAATTTTATTTTTGCCATAATGACAGTAAATATTAGATATTTTTCTTTAGCTTAAATTTCTATACAGCTTAAAGTGACATTTAAAGGCTTAACTAAGTTAATTAGGTTAACTCGACAGGTTAGGGTAATTAGGCAAGTTATTATAAAACGATGGTTTGTTCTGTAGACTATCGGGATAAAATCAGCTTGAAGGGGCTAATAATTTTGACCTTAAAATGGCTTTTTAAAATATTTAAACTGATGTTATTCTGGCCGAAATTAAATAAATACTCTCCAGAAAAAAAAATATCTGACATACTGTGAAAATTTCCTTGCTCTGCTAAACATTATTTGGGAAATATTTAAATATATATATATATATAGAGAGAGAGAGAGAGAGAGAGAGAGAGAGAGATGTGTGTGTGTGTGTGCGCGCGCGCGCGCATGTAGAAACTGGAAACAAGAATAACTACAAAAATAAATGTATCACAATACGCATCGCTTGCCTTCGTGTATAAACTGAAACATCAGTTTAATAAATCAAAACAGATGTGCAACATACGACTACAACTAAACTTAAACTAAATTAAAACCAATTTAAACCATTACTGACATTAACTAGTACAATTAAAATTAAAGCATGTACCACATTACTGTAACTGTACAGCATTCACAACGTAACATGTTTCTCGGCATATTAAGTATTCAACTGAAAGTGCATTCATACTTGAACATTTATTTATTGTTATCCAAGAATGTAATGTGTCAAAAGCTTGCAAAGTATTCAGAGAGGGAAAAAATTACAATGGGTCAACATCAAACCAGCCAAGACTTCCTGTAGAAAAGCTGTACAACATTTGGCTGCTTCTGATAGTATTTTAAAGAGCTAGCGTTCAACACTCAGTAGAAAACTTAAAAGTGCTATACATAAACATTAGAACATCATCAAAACAACATCAGTCTTTCTTGACCACTCTTACTAATTCAGGACAAATCCCAAAAGATTTTTCAGCTAGATGGTCCAAATTATCCCAGAACGGACAATAAAGTACAACACTCTGAAGCACAGCAATTTAGAAAACTTCTAGATCATTTGAGTTGTACACTACAGGGTTGTCCTCTGTTCCTAATGCATGTTCTGATGGGGCTTCAGGGGCCTCTTCTAGGGAAACCAGAGCCTCCTCAGTGTCACTAGCAAATGTTTCTCTTGAGATGTCATCTTGTTCCTGTAGATTGAGTGTGCCGATGGCTTGCTTCATCTTCTTTGCTACTATTTGCCTCCGTCGCTTCTTCGCAGCCTTTTTGCTGTTGCATTCTTTCTGGTTCTCTTCATGAAAAATCTCCTGGATTAAGGGAACATTCAGTTAAACTTAGCTTTTTTTAATTGTCTATGAAAGAAAAAACAGCAACCCAACACTGGGAATCACCCATACATTCAAACCCATCTTGCTGTGGGGTAGCAGTGCCAACCACAGAGCCATTTTCAGCTCTTTCAGCAAATAGTATACTCTTACGCCCCATTCACATGGAGCTTCAGCGTCAACGCTTGACTAAAGGCATGTCTCTAGTTGGGGCTGAAGCGATTGTCATAGCAGCATCAGCCAATGAAATTCAGTCAGCAATAGGCCACTGTCTAGCTGGTGTATTTGCATACAGCGATCTGATTGGCTAACGCTTCCATCGGCTCTTGAAAAGTTGAGCTAGTCCCAACTTCTGCAGCGAGCGAGGCTTCTGAAGCGGCGCCAACCGATCCACAATGCAGTTTGGCAAGGCCTGACGTCACCCATTTAAAGTGAATGGGAAGCGTTGACGCTGACGCCCCGTGTGAGTGGGGCGTTATGGTGTAGAGCCACAATATTACCAAAACACTCCAAAAGTCTCCATTTTTTTTGTGAAAAATGGGTAACAAGTAGCATAGCAAAACATTGATCATAAACCCTGCCAAATCACACTTTGGCATCCACTTTGACTAATATTATTACTGTATATTAGTGTTTGCAAAATATGGTAGGTCATTTGTGTGGGAATTACTATTTTACAAAATTACAGACATGGTCAAATTGCATGAGATTAAAATCACAGATGACCTCTGCAATTTCTACAAATGACTCAAAGGTCATCAGGTAATACTAAACCCATGCAAACAGAATTTCTGAGATCTATTTGAAATTATGAGACGTATGGATGTTTATGTTTTGTGTGTGGATGATTGTGTATTGGCACTGTTATTAAATACATTTTTGTATTAAATTTAAATTGTTTTGCTAAACGTTGATGAAATAAAGCTACTTTATATTTCACCAACTAAACACTTCAGTGACTACATACCTTTACTTGCCCATGAGAAATGCTTGGTGTATTCTTCAGCAGGTTAAGATACACCCCACCTGGTGTCCGCCTCCTACTGCCATCCTGCAGAAAATGGGGTTACTAAAACTCACATTGTTATATATAATCACTCACATACACCTTTATGTCCTTTATCATTCTGAATGAACTTTAAATAAAACATAGTAACAACTAAATAGCCCAAATAAAGTACTTTCTGATATTATACTGCTTAATAGGGTTGGGAGATGTTGAGCATTTTGGCATTGTACGATGTCTAATGTGAAACATCGCAATGGACGATGACATCGCCGTCGTAGGCAGGGGGAAGTGGTTGTTGTTTTTAAATATCAATTAATTCATAACGAATTAATTAATTGTAGCCTACCGTTTTCACTATCTGACCCACTATCTGTTTTATATTTGTGTTTGTGTGTATGCACACAGATAATTTAAATGGCAACCCAATAATTGGTATACAAACAATAACAATATAATGAATCAGCAAACAAAAAAATACATTCATATTTAAACACATGACTGAAACTATTTTCATGTGTTATCAAACTATTAATAACAAAACTAAGCTCTGAAAAGGAATTATTTATTTAATTATTAATTTTTTTAAAAAATGGAACTAGCTCTGAACATGCAATTGTTAGTTCCAAAATCCATCCATATGGACTGCTTGTGTCTGAAGTATGTGTGTAAATTGTGACTTGTTTTTATACATACCACAGTGTAAAGACCTCCACTTTGTTCAATTGTTGCAGTCTCAGACAGCAGCTCGATGGCTTTCTTATTTCCTATAACTCTGACCACACGTTCTATTAGATCTTTCTTGGGCTCCATGAGTCTTTAACAGATCAAACAAATGCATTATTACAGAAAAGCTGTAGATACGTTTCACATACACATACCCTGTAAATAAGACAAATCTCATATCACAATATAAAAGTAATCTCATTTCTTGATTACGAGATATCGATCGATATATTTATATATATATATATATATATATATATATATATATATATATATATAAAGTCAGAACAATTAGCCCCCCTTGGATTTTTTTTCTTTATTAAATATTTCCCAAACAATGTTTAACAGAGCTAGGGAATTTTTACAGCATGTCTGAATGTTTTTTCTTCGGGAGTAGGTCTTATTTGTTTTATATCGGCTAGGATAAAAGCAGTTTTAATTAAAAAAAAAAAAAAAACATTTTAAGGACAAAATTATTAGCCACTTTAAGCTACTTTTTTTTTTTTTACTTGCCTAATTACCCTAACCTGCCTAGTTAACATAATTAACATAGTTAAGCCTTTAATTGTCACTTTAAGCTGTATAGAAGTGTCTTGAAAAATATCTAGTCAAATATTATTTACTGTCATCATGGCAAAGATAAAATAAATCAGTTATTAGAGTTAAATTATTAAAACTATTATGTTTAGAAATTACTTGGAAAAAATCTGCTTAATAATTTAGGGGGGCTAATAATTCTGACCTCAACTGTGTGTGTGTGTGTACACTCAGAAATGTACACATTCATATGTGACAATATTACTCATTTTATTTAGAACTTCAGGGCAAATGTTTGATTAAAAATGTAGAAATATAAAATAAATATTAATAAAATGCCTTTCAAAAGCTGATAATTTTGCATCTAACATATATAAAAATAAATCACCAAATAAAATGCAAACATTGTACTTTCACTATTGCAACTCTAACAAAGCTGTTATTCATGTACTAGTAATGACATATTTAATTGCGTTCATCTAAATTCTGAAATATATATTTTTTGTATCAGACCAATATGTGCATCAGACTGCACATTTCTGAAGTTCTCTGACCTGTGTGCGATTTCATCGATCACTCTCTCTTCAGGGTCATCTTCTTTGATCTCATATCGACCCTTCAAGTCCATCTCAGCCCTGGGGCCGAGTCTTTCCTTGGCTGGCCGCTTTCTTTTCAGATGGCTACTGTCTTTTTGGTCTTGTCCTCCCTGCTGCATGTATCCCTCCAGCTCACTGTCCAAAGTGCTCTTCAACCCTTCCTCCTCCTCATCACGCTCTTTTGCCATCATCTTGCGAGCAAAGACATAATTATAAGTCTCGCTCTGGCGACTGCTCATGCTGACAGCACCTTCCATTCCCATGATGCCTAGCTCTGCTGCAACAGCTTCCTGACTTTGCTCCTGAACCACAGAACCCCAGATGTTGTTGACTTTGCGAGCAAAGGGGTTTGTTGCAGTTCTTGCATTAGGCTTGGCCTGAAGAGGAGCTGGTATACTGGAACATTTTAGTCGTTTTCTTTTCCACAGAATGGCCTCATCTTCAGAGTCAGAGTTGCTGTCACTAGACTCCATGTTCTTTAAGTTGCGGTATTCTGTGATGGGTGCACCACCTAAAGAAGATCCTCTGCTCTGAAAAGATGACACCTGCAACATCAAATATAATAACTGAATGGTGTAACTATGATAGCTGGTTATGAAATTATTAATAAGCAGTGGTGTAAAGTAACTAATTACAAATACTTACATTATTGTAAACGAGTAGTTTTTCTCAGGAATTGTAATTTAGTAAGTAGTTTTAAAAATGTGTACTTTTACTCTCCTTTGAGTACATTTTTAGTGCAGTAATCAGTACTTTTACTCCACTACTTTTCTTCAACCTTAAGTAACTACTTTATTTTTTCTTGTCTATGGGGATTAGAAAAGTCAGTCCTTTAATTCCTGTCCAATCAAATCTCGCATACTCAAAATAGGGTTGATCAAAAGAAATATATTAATGCAATTCAATTACATAATATATGAATTGATGTTTACTTTAAACTTATTATAAATATATAAATTACAATAAATTAAAATATTTTTTTTGTCAAATAATTTTGTGGCTAAAAAGTATCTTTCAGGCACCGTTTTGGCTCCTGTACCATTTTAAAAGTATCGATTTAGCACTGGTATTGAAATAACCCCAAACGATACTCAACCCTACCTCAAAACATGTGCGCTTTGCAGCAAACTGTTTGGAAGCAATAAAAGTGTACAAGATGTCCAAAATCTTAACATGTATTGACCAAGAGACTGATAAGATGCAGGTCACTGATGAGAAGATGACAGATGTTTACTGTATGATGATCGAAATGGCCTTAAACATCCAGCAGGCACAAGATGTCAACATGTCAGTATGAAGTTGTACCCCAGTGTCATGGGGATGTTGCATTTTGTTTTTCCATGAAAATCATGAAAGTGTCGGCATGTGCTGCCAAAATGACGTTGGATGTTTGCTTGACATTGGATTTTAGTCACTTTCCAACACAACCTAAAGTCAACCAAATATCCACGTCTTTTGATGTTGTTTTTGAACAAATAACGTTGTCCTTAGATGCTGGCTAGACAATCTAACCTAATGTTAATGTCTTATGATGTTGTGTGCCTGCTGGGCAATAACTCGATGCACTACAGAATGTTACGTTTACACACATGCACAAAGTACATGTAAACGCATCAGTTTTTAAAAGCGTAATACTCACTACTCTCGAGTACTTTTGAAAGGGCTACTTTTTACTCATACTTTGAGTAAAATTTACAACAGATACTTTTACTCTACTTACTACACTACATTTTTAAGAAAGTAATGGTACTTTTACTTGAGTATGATTTTTCAGTACTCTTTTCACCACTGATAATAAGCTAAACAATTCACATTATAAATGGATTTGGCACCACTTTGAATCTAAAACATTTATGAAGCAGATCAAAATGAACACAGAAGTTGACCCAAATATTTTGTCAGCATGGGAAAAAAACAAAGCGTTTGGAATATTCAATATTGCATGTACTTTTCAAATGCTTAATGGTCCAGTCCAATTACATTAGGTGACTGGACCTAAAGAACTGTTGACACGTTTGAAATCATTAAAGGTAAAATGCAAAAGTTGGAAATGGTAATCATCAACAACTGACCTAATAAAAGGGCTCATTTGAATTCACGGTGGTTGTGATTTTATTACAGGTCAAAATCTAAAACGTCAGCGGATAATCGACACCAATTTAAAATGCCGAAGATACAGCACAGATCTCTGGTTTGCACAGATATCTAAATGCATAGTCAATTAATCGCCATCAGCACAACAACAACGTGTTGAGCCGAATGAACAGCACAATGTACCTGCACTCGCTCCGCAGCAACATCCCGCATTTCCGACTCTTGATCAGAACTAATCTCTCCATCCTCAAGATCCGCCATTGTGTCTCTATCACCCGCCGTTTCCCAGCCGGAAGACGCGCAGATGCATACACTTGAGCGCGTGCACTCATTGGCCGCTTTTTGAGTAGTGTTGAGTTCGGAGGGCACGGCATCGGAAATAGTGCAGGTTTAGCGTCATCTGCGGCCAACTAACGTTATTAGTATAACTTTATCAGAAGATAAATATACATAAATAAGTTGTGTGACAGTGTAACATAGCATGACTAAAATATTACACAGGTACTATACCTGCAATATATTTAATAATCAAATTAAAACAGACATTTTACTACAATGTTATTTTATAACACTGAGCCTGAAAGTCGTTTACACCTATTTTGCACTTGTACATTTTCTGCTGATTTTTGAAAACGGGTTTCAGGGTTGATTCTTGATTTATTTAACAAAATAATTATTTTGACTAATGCATGTTTCTTTTTTATTTTATTTTTTGAATTGTACAACTGGCTATGATACACTCGATAATGCTTTGAAGTTGATAATTTTTCTTGGAAAGTTTCACATACACAAGGCAAAAGTAATGTCTATTACTCCCTTCTTTAATTTTTTTCTGTAAAGATTTGAAAATATTATGTAAGTCTTTGACCTCAATCACAAGAAGGCTATAAAAACCTCTCTAATAATAAAAAAAAATTGTACAATCTGATAATTTAAATATGATGGATCCCCTCATATATATAATGTTTTTATTATTTTTATGTATGTTCTGCATTACTAATTTTTGTATGACTGTTGCATATGTTATCATATAATCCTGTATGCTTCAATAAAAAATAAATAAAAATAAAAATAAAATAACATGACAAGAAAACATCCGTTGTTACTCTATCGCGTTTTTTATCCAAACCATAGACACGTGACATTTTGATATGAATAACTATTAGCACATGTTAAAGAAAATATGAAACCAATAAGATCACAAAGGACTAACTGGTTGTGGACAAAAAACAAACCGGAATATAGTGAAAAAAACAGGGAGTGAATCATTTAAAGCACTGTTAAATTAACTTAATCTCTCTATTTTTGCATTTTTTTTTAGTGGATCTGTGATTTAAACGAATGCATGATGTATAACGTTATTCATCGGGAACGGGAAAAAAGCAGTCAAAAATTGATAAAATTAGAAAGAAAGAAAAAATTAGGTTTCAATGTATTTATGGAAGAATTTGCCACTAGGTGGTGCAGTTTTAGCATCCAACCAGCAGTAGAAAAAAGGACCTGCTTTCAAGCTGAAGGGGTGAGTCGCAGTTTGACCAATAAGAATTCCCGTATACACGTGATCGCGGACGTACACGAGTGTAGCTCTTATCCACTGTTCCTCGGTTCATGATGCAGCGCGTGCTGACGCTGAGACTTGCGCGACTTTTTACTCAGAGGCATAAACTGTTGCCGAGTGTCCGAACCGCAGCACCGAATATGTCGACTCTGCTTATTAACCAACCAGAGTACAACTGGTTGAAAGAGTTAGGACTTAAAGAGGACAATGACGGTGTTTACAACGGTTCTTGGGGAGGACAGGGAGAGGTAAGAGGATCTCACATTCATGACCTGCTCTAAATATAGTAAAATCAAGCCAGTCTTCTTTCTTCCTGAAATACATTTTCAAATTCACTAGTAATAATTTGTGGGCAGGCAATTCATGAAAACCTAACCCATATGCATGCAAGTTATCGCAGCTGGAATGTGTCAGTGGTCAAGGCTATTGGTTGAAGTTTGTGAAGTTGGGTTACTACAGATTAACTCCTGTGAGGTTCAAAGGGTTGAAAAGAGCCGGGCTGTTCAGGCTGTTATTTGTAACATAAATGAAACATCAACTCAAGAGATTGATTTTAAAAGAAGTGAATGAAACATTTATTCTACCTTCAATATCCACCAGATCAAGAACTTGGTGTAATATAACACAGTGGTTTCCAAACTTTTTTTCTGTATGCACCCCTTTTTAATTTTTGACACCTGTCAAGCACCCATTTCTCCGGTTAAACTCCACATTTTTAACTACAATAACTAAATACACATATTTTTCTGTATTTGTGGTTTAAATAAAACTAATAAAACATGTGAATTTAATGGACAAGCTTTTATAAAGTTGACAATTTTCACAGCATCATTAAGTACAGACAGAAGTTCTGCATGTTTTTCATCCCTAGAGCTTCTTGGTGGATGCTGCAGTGTACCCAGAAAACAGATGGTGCAACTTTTCAAATGAAAGCTACTGCTCTTTTGTGCCTCCTTTTTTCTGCAGTTTCTCCAAATTTCCTTGAAAAAAAAACTTACAGGCATGTTTTGTAAGTGCTGGACCATATAAAAGGGCTTAAGACTGCTACATTTACATTTGCTATTAGCTAAAACCTCACCACAGACTACACACTGCGAATTTGATTTTTTTTGCATCTGCAATTCATGTTAACCCAAAACCAATGCAACTGTTGCTATGTTTGCCTTTCTTACTTGACATTTTTTCACTCTCTAGTGTTGGCTTAATTCTCTTCATCAGTACATCTCTGCTGGATTTTTCTGTTTCCGCCTCGTTCATAATCCTCCGAGTCCATATATTCAAGGCCGCTGCACATCTCCATAGAAGAGGCCGTTGTAGATGGTTCATCTCTTTTGTCACTTGACTTCTTTAAAGTGCCTGTTTTTAACCAGGTGTCCATTTCGATTAATAAAGTAAATGAAAAAAAAAATGACGAACATACTATCACTTAGTGCCTAATTTGAAAGGCTGGGGCTATTGTGACACAGACGTGAAACTGCGAGATGAGCAAGTATGCGTAGGTTGTAAATGACAATTTGTAATGTAATTTTTTTTCTCTCTCAGTGAATTTCTTTTCTCTCAAAATCTGACATGTAAAGTTTACCCAAGATAAATGCATAAAAATAATAAAAGATAACATTTTCCGCCATTACAAACATTTTCTAGCGCACCCCTGCTGGTCAGACTGACGTACCCCTAGGGGTGCATGCACCCTAGTTTGAGAGCCGCTGATATAGAACAATGTATTTTTAGTTTGTTTACTCCTTTTGAGACTGACAAACAGCTTATAGGACAATGTAAAGTGTCAGTGTACAAGTGGCCGTGGGTTTTGAGTCCTTATCAGTCTAATGGACTGGGAATTCTAAATTATTCTGGACTCAGGATGTTCTTCAATATATTGTGGGTGGTGTGCTTGATGATGTTGTAAGCCCGTTTTCTGCAGATATTTTTCACTGTAGATGTCCTGCATTGAAGAAAGGTTTTATACAAATATAATCTTTGTCTAAAATTTCACCCCATTTCTGCTGCTGTATACCTACATCTTTACAACTTTACAGTTGAACCAGAATTGGAATTTCTGTAATGCTTTTGTTTAATGATTTGAGTCTTTCTATGACTGTACTGCCATATCAAAAAATGTTTATTTTATTAAAGCATCAAGGATGAACAAACTCTAAATGTAACATTAAACACCAGATTGCAAAGAACAATTATAAAGAACAAACAGTACTTAGAGAGCATTACAGTTTTTTAGTTGACAACATTTAAAGAAAATGTTAGGGAAAATCTGTACAGTAAAGTTATTAGCCCTCTTGTGGAAAAAAATATTCTTTTTCAAATATTTTTCAAGTGCTGTTTATCTTTGAGAAGATTACTTTACTGACAAACCTGGCCCTCTTGACCACATCCTGGACAGACCATCAGCATTGGTATAGAAAGCTACGGCCCAATGTTTCACCTCGAAATAGAAGTCCTAGAGAGCGAGGAACCGCTGTGTGACCCTGCCATTTGTGTCCTTGGCTCGGGACATTTATTGCTGAGGCTCTTGATCTGTAACAAAGGAAAAACCTTCTTCCCAGCAGGTAATAGCGCAGCTCCAAGAATGCCCAATTGATGGCCAGAGCTTTCTTCTCTTCAGCTGCGTGCCTGGATACAGGTGGAGACAGCTTCTGGCTGATGTATACGACTGGGTGCTCCTCCCATAATCTGTGAGAGTACTGTACCCAGGCAGATGTCAGAAGCATCGGTCTGCAGGATAAAGGGGCAGCTGATATCTGGGGCATGAAGAACAGGGGAAGATGACAGCACCAGTTCCAATTCAATTTCACCTGCCGCCTTTTCTTGGTCAGGTCATTTTATTTGTCAGCGGGCTGGTTATAAAAAAAAATGGGTGTGAAGCACAGGCAATAGCCAGCTAACCCCAGAAAGGCTCAAGGCCTCGTTGCCTGCTGAACCGAGCTGTCACATCCTGGTGATCTTCTCATCAATAGCCAGCCAGCACACCTCAGGCAACCGGTAGGGATAGTGCTGCACGATTTTGTTAGGGAGCATCCTGATTTTGTGCTGTAATGGCATGGGTCCACCAAGACTGCTCCGTAAACACATCGTAGAACTGGCTGACTAAGGTGGCCAGTTCGCTCTTCTGACCTGCTGACAGCTGTTCTACAAGATAGACAGTGAGACTGGCATCATGAGAAAAAGCAGCAAGCTGGTTTAAGGCGACTGAGATGACTGATCTACCATGACAAGGACCTGTTCATGCCCTGGGTGAATTTCGACAGAGGCCCTACTAGGTACATCCTAAATTGCTGAAGGGCACCACAATGATCGGAAGAAAAATGAGCAGGCTGGGAGGAGGTTGAAGTGGTTATGTGTGCTGACAGATATCGCAGGCTTGACAATATCGCTTAACATCTGCCTTCAGTGGAAACAGTGGCTAATTCGCTGTGTAGTGTTAATGGCTCTCAAAAGTTCTGCCAACAGTGTTCAACTACAGTGACTGTTTTGGCTCGCGGGACTACTACCAGCAATTTTTCTTATACCGACTGTTTTCTGTAATTAGGAGATTATAAAAATCTTCTAAAACTGTTTTATTTTCTTGTTTGTGCAGGATGCTGATTAATTCATTATATATATATATATGTTTTTATACAGGTGGTCACTTCATATTGTCCAGCAAACAATGAGCCCATTGCCAGAGTGCGTCAGGTAAAAATTGTTTTTATTCAATGAAATGGAACCCAATAAATAAATGAACACAATTTAAAATGCATTAATCCATCTCTCAATAAATCTTATCTTTTAACAGGCAACCATAGCAGAATATGAGGAAACCATACAGAAAGCACTGGACGCATGGAAAGTGTGGGCAGATGTAAGCTTTCATATTATAATGTAGTGCATAAGGATGGGTTATATCAGCAACTTAATAATAACTTAATATATAATTAGAATGAGCAAATACTATATGCAAATTGTGGTTTATACTAAGCACATTAAATGTACAGTTGATGTCAGTTGTGCCGCTAGGGATTTTTCCCTTTTCTCCTTGTCTGGGCGCCAATGTGGAATCACAGAGGTGTCTTTAACCAGTACAGTCAAAGGATCAAAAGCCTGAGTATTGAGCTGGAGCAGCTCGTATATTTGAGGCTCTGCCTTTGCCACCATGTGATCATTTTTATATATTTTCTTAACCGGTCTTGCTGGCACAGCAACAATCCACTAGTGCTTTGGATCATTTCTGGCAGTCGTACAGAATTCACAGAACCACAGTTAAATATATAACTAGTGTTCACCTTTATTTGTTGACAAAAATGTAAAAAAAAAAAAAAATAAATAAATCTTGTTATCTTTTTGTCAATCAAAATTTTTTTAAGGGGTTCTTGGGTTCTTAATTTCTCCACAATCATAGAAGCATCAGCAATTTCAGCAGTATCTTATACAACGGGAAAAAACAGCATATGCACAGCTTTAATTAGCTTTTCTTTAGTTTTCATCTTCAAAGCCCTTGCATGGCTAATTCACTGAGATACAGTATTTGCTTTGCTTTTTCCAAACTTTTGTCCAAATCTTGTCCATTTTTCAATGGTTGAAAAATCTGACGCCTTCAGATACAGCTGATGAATGCGTGAAGAACAAATACTACTGAAACATAAATAGATCATTTCAATTTGTCAAATTAATTGCATAGAATGTTGTTCTATAGTTAGACAGGAAAGGACTGTATTATATGAGGCTTTTTTTACTTAGCTTTTCTCAAGGTGTGTCAGTCAAAACAATGTGTCAAATCAGCTTTATTTAAGGGAGTTTAATTTCTGTGTCAAGATGTACACAACACAGCTGCGCACAGGATGTGCAGGATACTTATTCTTCAGTGTAGTGTGTATCCATACTCAGAAATTAGATTTTAGGCAGAAAAAATACCATTTCAATTCTAAATTATTATTGCAATGACATTCACATTTATAAACAGAGTACAGTTTACACCATCACTGGTTAAATGTTAAATCAAATGAAGAAATCAAACACAAAGAATGAATGTGTATTGCTACCACAATCTACGTTACAATGCTACCACCTAGTGGTTATATTAAGCAACCTCGTTCACACACTAAACTGTAAATTAGATGAATTTAATATAAAAATAGATATGCTAAATAAATAATGGCTTTGTTTCTAATTAGACAGTAAGATATAGGAGAATGCAAAAATAACAAACTACCACAGCCTATGCAAATGTACGCATACACATATTCACATACTGTATACTGTACACATACTGTACTCACATGAATATTAAATCATTTGAGGACAGAACAATATGCACCTCTATAAAGAACAGTTTGACTGGAAGTTATTTAATTAATAATTATTAATTAACTGGATTGTAATATTTATGCTTTGTTTATTCTCCACCAATAAACAGTGTAGCAGATTAATAGTACTGTAAATTAACTTTTCACAAATATCCATATTAATAATTTGTAACAAGTTCTCGCATATCTACACCATTATTACTGTAATAAATTAGCTCAAGGTTATTCTTCCTGCGCCTTTTCCACCTTTATAATGTTGCGAGTTATGATTTAGATTACAGTGCTCTCGTATCTTCTGCACCATCATATATATAGTGGATTAGCTTAACGGGAGGGAGATTTATTTGAACGGGGCTTCAAATGAATCGACTCTTTAGATCCGAACAAACAAATCGTCCAGCGATGCCATCAAAATAAAAACCCATTAAGTTTGAGCAGGGTAACAAGATCGAAGTTTAAGACATTAGATTCATAAATGGACACAGGCACCTTTCTTTATACAAATTTAAACTTTATTGACTAATCTAACAGAAACTAACCCCTAAACCAAACACACATTCACACAAGTGTAGAGGAGAATAAAGAAGGTAAAGTAAGAGGTTGAGAGGATGTAATGATGGGAAAACCTCAGAGTTTTTAAGAGCAAACCAAGCAAACCAAACATAATCAAATTCACCCTTCTATTGTCTCTTTAAGGTTGAATTTAGTTCACACCAGTTTAGATGTTGGAAGAAAGTGGATACTTGCGGTCTCTCTATGTAATGTAAAGAAGCTCGCGTTGTTGAGCATGTGGTTCGGCTGGTTGTTCCTTATACCTCGCGAGGCTTGAAGTGGGGTGGAGTCGGTAGTTTCAAGTTGAAGCAGCAAAGAGGCTAGTCGTGAGGACTATTGGTTTGCAATGCACTAAACTTAACTAGACTCTAGATGGAAAATAAAGAAAAGAAGGTATCGGGGATGTGAAATGTCCGAGCTGTGCGATTAACCCTTTCCGTCTGGGTCTCCGCCTGCTTTCTTGGAGGTTTCTCTGCTTAGGTCTCGTTCTTAGGTCGTTGCAGTTGAAAAGATTTCAGAAAAAAAAATGTTGCGGGTTTAGAGCATGGTTCAAGAGAGTTGTGGTTAAAAGAAAGTTGCGGTTCAAAGTAAGTTTCAGAGCAGAGAACTGGGTTCAAGAGCAGCTTCAGAGCAAGAGCGACAGGCGTAGCTTTGGTCCCAAGCTTTATAGGGCGGGTTCGGATCCACCCTCCATGAAAAGTTGACCAAATAGAAACTAACCTCCTTGAATCATGGGTTTATGGCTCTTTGTTCAAGGCAGAGGAATTTGCATAGGCAAATTTTATGCAAATTGAGGCAGAAATGTTCAAGTCTTTTAAAATGTTAACATGTTGCACTTGTATTAACATAAAATGTCAACAATCAATTAGTACAGCAAGTAAGCTTTACGACAAAACTAAATATGAACCCTTTATGCGCTAGTTCGCTAGAGTTTTACATTTTATGCAGAGGTCTTAAAACCAAAATATCGATACAGGAGCAAGGGAAATGTTGCAAAATACATGATTACACATAAAAAGAGAGTAAAGTTTACATAAAACATCAGTCTTAAGCAAGGAGCTTAAAGAAGTCCTGAACCGTTCTTTGTTCAGTGCTGCATGGCACATTCCTTTTGGGTCGTAAATACCTTGGAATCAGGTTTTGAGTCTTCCCTTGGCTCAGTTGTTGAATAAAAAGCTAAATAATTTTGTGTCTGGTTGGCCATATTTGTTACAGGATAAACAAATAACTTGCACACCTGAACGCTGTAGTCACTCTTGTTTTTTTTTATTTTGAGAAAATCATGCTACATATTAAAACTTTCCAGTGACGACTTATGTTGTCAGCTTTTACTTACTTGAACAAGAAGGAAGCATGTAAAAAGCTTACACATATAGTAATGGTTTGTTGAATCACCTTTAGCTTTATTTTTATTAACAGCACATATTTGCTGTGGCACCTAACCAACTTAGCAGCATCCCCAGATCATAGCACTGTCCTAACAGGCTTGTATAATATACTAATTTTTATGCTCTCTAGCAAACGAAGCTTTGCTTTTTGATTGGCCTCACCTATAAGTGTGTAACGGAATGAAATGTCTGTCATTTATTTCATTATTTCATTGATAACAAAAAGTTGACACACATTTCATTTCATTACTTCAAGTAAAATAATGAAAAGTTACAAGTGTTTTTCTAAGGCTACACAGCTGTTTAGTCCCAGTCCCTTGGGTTCCCATTTCATTGTGTGTAGAAATACTTCTACGTTCACTATTAAAGATGGCTGTAAAGCTTCTTTTTTATCATTCATTCTGGTTCATTCTGCTGTGGTGACCCCTGAAAAATCAGGGACTAATCTGAAGGAAAATTAATGTATGAAACTAATTAACATTTGCTCTATGTTTTGTTTTGACATGATTGTTAAAAAAGACAAGAAGATACTCTGTGTCAGTTAGGATTCTGTTACTTTCTGAAACATAATCATCTATGCAGTAATTACCTAATGGAGGCTCTTACCTATTTGCTTAGTTAAATTCAGGTGGTTACATTCTTTTTTTTGGACTGTGTATATGCAAAAACAATGCTGACTAATGCTATGTGTTATTTAGGTACCTGCTCCAAAGAGAGGGGAAATTGTTCGACAGATTGGAGAGGCTTTAAGGAGGAAGATCAAAGCTCTCGGCAGCTTAGTAAGTTTGCATTACAGTAATTGTATTCACAGGATTGAGGAAAAGTGCAGAAGTTTTACAGGAGTTTGCTATGCGTAGGTGTCTCTAGAGATGGGCAAGATCTATGTGGAGGGTGTTGGTGAGGTGCAGGAGTATGTGGATGTGTGTGACTATGCTGTAGGACTGTCCCGTATGATTGGAGGTCCCATTTTGCCATCTGAAAGTGAGCGTACTTTGTTACACTTTCAGAAAAATATGACTGTGGTTGTATTGAGACAAACTTGGAAACTGAGTGTTGTTTACCTGTGATCTAAGGGCCAGGTCATGTGCTGATCGAGCAGTGGAATCCTGTTGGCTTGGTAGGAATCATCACAGCCTTTAACTTTCCTGTGGCTGTATATGGCTGGAACAATGCCATTGCTCTCATCTGTGGAAATGCCTGTCTTTGGTTAGACTTGACTTTTCTCATCGAGCATCAGCTGCATCCAGGATGAGTATTAATGGCATTTGACGTGCAGTTAATAATTTTGCCATTTTCTTGACAGGAAAGGAGCTCCGACCACACCCCTTACAAGTGTTGCGGTTACCAAGTACGTTCTTTCATAAATTACATGTATTCTCACTTTATTCTTTAAAATTTAAGACAAATATTATGTAAAAATTACATCACAAACTACTTAATTATTCTAAGTTATTTTTTACGTCCATCATTCTGCATAAACAAGCTAGCTAAATAACTTGGACTCAAAATAATCTTCCATCATGTTAATTTATTTGAGAAGTAACTTTGTATTGTAGGAGCTCCTGTTGAGTTCTGACAAAGCCCCACACATTAATAGTCTTTTCTGATCCTTCCTTTAACAAACGGCCGAAGAATCTCCTGTTGTAAGTGTGTTGATTCACAAGGCTGGGGCTATAATGCTGAGGTATTACTGCAAAAATAAACCTCAACCACTGACTCTTCACAGTTTCATCTTTGGGTAGAGAAAATAACACTAACTTTGCCCTTACACTTCCAATTATATCCAGCTAAGCACAGCGTATACACGACTTGATTCAACCGGGGTCTGCTACAGTGTTTGTCTTCCTATTTTTCTTTGCTACTGTGATTGTGGGCGGGGCCACAGGTTTCAATTTTCCCAGGTTTGTGCACGCAAGAATTGAGCGGGGCTTATGGCGAGTTCAGACTGCATGATTTTCAAAGTAGTCGTGTCACAGACGTTTTCACACTGCTTGACTATCTGGGCTTGCGTTTCGTCGCTGCTTTGTTTACACTGCAAGATGGTTCGGCGACATGGACATTCACATTGCATGACTTTACTATAGGGAGAATCGCCGACAACTTCGTCCAAACTACGTCTCACAGCCAAAAACATGTAGTATATCTTTTGTTATTAACTACATAATGAGAAAGAAGCCTTTAATGGGGTAGAACATGTACATGTTTGCTCACCTGGGTTTAAAGGGAATTAGCCATTTCTCCTCAACGTTGATAATAAACTAATTTCTTTCTGTATGAAATATCAAACAGACACGGTTGCTCCTAAGTCCTGTCAAAACTTCACTAGTTTTCCCTCCATTTCGTGGGTCCAAATAAACCGAAAAAGAGCGCTTTTAACTTCTCCCCCAGCCTACCGCTGGCCTGCAGCAGGTATACACACACGCACACACAAGTGAAAGCTGCTCTCTCATTGGCTGTAGGCGATCGCTGATGTTATTTTCAGTCAAACTCAATTCACACGGCATGATTTGAATCGCCGACAGCTCCAGATATTTAGCATGCCAACTATCTCACAGGCGACTCATCGGCGATTCTCTCAGATCGCATCTTTGATCGTTCATACTGTGTGATTGTCACTCACGTGCACGAGCAGCGATTTGCCTGTGATTTCAGGCATTTGTCGGCGATTTCTCAAAACCTGTCGGCAAACCAAAATCGGGGCTAAAATCACGCAGTCTGAACTAGGCATTAGTTTCTTATTGCATCATGCCAAAACGGCTAAAGATTCATTATCAAGACGATTCCTTTGAAGCACTATTAGTCGACTCTTTTATAAATTAATTAATAGTTTTCAATACTGTGCACTTTCAGATTTAAGCCCTAGCTGGATACTTCACTTCACTTAGAGCTGTGTTACATACTACATGGAAGGGCATTAAAAAAAACATAATAGGGGCTCTTTAAGTATTGTAGAATGCATTTAAAAAAAACTTTTGTCTGAGAATTTATGTATCTACTTTTATTTATTAATCGCTCAAAATGATCTATAGCTAAGCTGGTGTGTTTTTGACTTTTAGGTTTGTATTGTTTTCTGTTATATACTTGACCTTTTTAAATCTCTCATATTCTATTGTAGGATTGTAGCTGAAGTTTTGGAGCAGAATCATCTTCCTGGTGCAATCTGTTCTATGACATGTGGTGGCGCTGACATTGGGTATTTGACAAATATATGAAATTGAGCACTAAAGCATTTGTAGTCTTATGAGTGTTAGTACTCTTTTTGGCAGTTCACAGGTGCATTATAAACGTTTAGACTGCCACCTACTAAACTTGTACTGTACAGAGAAAATTGTTTAGTTGGTTATGCGTGTTTGCAGCATGGCCATGGCTAAAGACGAGCGAGTGGGTCTTCTGTCCTTCACGGGTAGCACTCATGTGGGCAAACAAGTGGCAATGATGGTACAAGAACGGTTTGGTGAGTTTTATGCATTACAATAGAATTTAATCGCAGTCTGTCATAATGTTTTGATGGCAAACCCAAATCCTCTTTATTGACTGAAAATGAAACAGCATCTTTATATTAGCATTGCTACAATATGTCTCATGCTACCAAACCCACTAAGTTAACACAATAGTGAGTATATATTAAGATATTACCTGCTTTGATATTATTGCATGTGCTGATTTAGTGTATTTTTGATATTTACACAAAAATGACAAAATCATTAGTTATTAGTTTTTATAGCTCAAATTGAAAATGCATAGAGTGAGAACTAAAAACAACACATGTTAGATATTTTTGCTTGCTGCATGTGTGTTCTGTGCACCTTGCATTGTAGAGAGCTGTGAATTAAAAGCTTCTGTCACCGTCAAAACAAACAATCACTTTTAATCATAAGCCTGTCTCACTGCAGGCATTCTCCCGTTGAAACACAAAGTATGATTGTACTGATTCATGTAATTTCCTGTTGTCACACAAAACTGCACACAATACCAACACAAAATTGAACCGTTTTTACCAACACAAAATTTACATTTAATTTATGATTTTATTCTCAAGCCAAGTTAATTTAATTTATTTTACAATTTAAATAGTTTAAGGGCACCACTTTACCCCTTTTATAAGATGTAAGATTTGGTGTTTCCAGTTGTGTCTGTATAGTTTTAGCCTAAAAGACTCATCACATTATTTATTATAAAATGCAGAATATGCCCATTTTGAAGTTTGAGGACAGTGTAGCTGTTTTGGTAGCCTGTGGCTTAAAATGCATCTGAGCTTGTTCTCTCTGCCCACCGTCCCATGTGCCTGTCTGCTTTTCTGTGTCAAATAAACAGCAGTCAGTGATTGAGCCAGACACAGATAAAGCTGAAATACAGCTGATTAGTCAAAAATCCAATGTAAGTTTATTTGATGTCTTTGTGTAGTCTATTTAACCTTTTCTAAAACGATGTGTCACACACAAATGCCATTTGCAGTATCGATATGTGCGTGTTTACTGACACCATTTTAGAGATTAAGAATTACATAATTATTGTATAATTACATATCACTTAAACATCCTCACCAATTAATGCACAGACTCACACAGTCTGTTTGAAACAAACAGCTAAGATAAATAAATGAATTCAACTAACTATTTGGCGTCAAGACATCTTTAGAATATGTTTTAGTTTCTGCTTTGACATGATGTGATTCTTGGAGTGAATATTTTGATTTTTACAGGTCGTCAGCTACTGGAGTTAGGAGGAAATAACGCCATCATAGGTTTGTTGCAAATATTTTTCATCATTTATAATTTAGTGAATTTTGGTGAACATCACGTATTTTCCTCATTAACACAAAAACAATTACATGGACAAAGCCAAGTAACCAGCATAGAGACCTCATAAGAACTGAACTCCAGGTGATTGGTACTCCAGCCAGAATTTCAAGCATTCTAGATGTTTTTTTCTGTTCAGAGAGAAATAAATTAGTTAAAACAAATCTTGCTCAAATAATTTATTGTTTGTGTAGTTCAATGAAAGAACAACCTAGTTGCTATTCATTGAGTTTTACTCAATATATATATATATATTTTTTTATTTACAAATCTGTTTTATTTAGTAGAAATAACATGTCCCACCTGGTAAATTGTTATGACTCAGAGCATTTCATCAAATCAGTTTTGGAATTTCAAATACTTAAATATGTGTTTATGAAATAGACAAAGAAAACTAAGTAGGGTGACTACCTATTTATTTGTCTGCTAGTATAGTAAAGTAATTGCACAATATTTTGTTCCAGTATTTGAGGATGCTGATCTTAGCTTGGTTGTACCGTCTGCTGTCTTTGCATCTGTGGGAACGGCTGGTCAGCGATGTACTACTACCAGACGACTGGTTAGTATATTGTACTAAGCATAATCATATTAACCAAACCCATTACTCCTCCTTTGCATTAATCTGTCTGCCTGATGTTGCTCTGTTGTACTTCTGAATTAGATGCTGCATGAAAGCATACATGATGAGGTTGTGGAGAGAATCGCTAAAGCTTACAAGCAGATTCGCATTGGTGACCCCTGGGACCGTAAGTTCAGTACAGAATTATGGGTGGCATTTGTATTTGGCATATATTTTTAGTTACAGTATTGTTCAATATAATAGCAGTACAACGTGACTAACCCATATAATCCAGGTTTTTAGTATATTTTCTTTATTGATACATGGCAAACAAGTTACCAGCAGGTGCAGTAGATTATTAAAAAACAAACAAGACCCAGCATTCATGACATGCAAGATTTTAAGGCCGTGCAATTGGTCAATTAGTTGAAAGGGGTGTGTTAAAAAAGAAGCAGTGTGGCATTCAATCAGCGGGGTCATCAATTTTGTAAAAAAAAAAAAAAAAAAAAAGGGGGGGTGAATCAGGTGGCCCCTTTTAAGGATGAAGCCTGGACTTGTTAAACGTGCATTTGAAAGCCTGAAGCTGGATTTATACTTTCGCCGCATCGCACACCTCCGCTGACTGCGCACACACCTCACGAAACGGACAAGGCTTTTATGGTTGCCACGCTCACTGTTGTGATGTTCTTTATAAACGACAGGGGGTGGTCAAAAGAAACTGACTGTAAAATAAGACGGATGAACAAAGTGGTAGGAAATTTCTGGAAGTTCATCATATATGATTACTATCAATCACCATTTTTAAACTAATTGTTTTTATTATTTTTATAAATTATTTTAATTATTATAAAGATTTGTATGACCATTCAAGAATTTTTTTTTTTTTTTTTATCAAACTTTGATGCCTCACTTGCTTTTGTTCATATCTCGGACAGTTGTACCTAACATAATTAAAATATTAATGATAAGAGAACATGAGTTGCTCTTGAAATGTATTTTTATTATGTCAAGAATAAAAGCAAAGAAAAAATACACTTACTAAAAAAATAAAGATTTATTTTTATTTAGCCCGCTTCACAACTCACACATTACTGGCGTTTCTTTCTTTTACTTATTCTAAAAAAGCTATAATGGTCCAACATTCCTGAAAATGTTCTCCAATAAAGCCCAGAAAAACAGAGCATCAGTATGTTGTAAACCGATAGGTTTAAATATTCCTTTCCAGTTATTATAGAAATATTTTGTTCCTTGATTTATAGTTTTGTAACTATTCAATTGTTTTAAATTCAAAATTTTAATATTTACATCAGTGTCAAACCTATAAATGGTGGAAACATATTTCTGTAATTGTGTACCTGGGTCTCCACTTTTGCCATGTCCACTTTTGGTTTTAACAATTGTATGCCTCAGGTTTTACCAGACCTTTTTACAAAAACTTTCCTCCTTTCCCGCGGCTGTTGCAATTTCTAGCCAAGAATTATTGGTCATCTGGCTTACGGATCATAAAGATGTCTGTACAGTTGTACCTGTTTCAGACAAAATCTCTTCAAAGTGATTCATATTAAACTTAAGCCGCCGAAATCATGTCGCTCATTCCCTAAATTCCGTAATGACTTCACATTCGCCACGTGCACTCAAGCGTACTTGCAGACATGTCGAGTATAAACCATGGGTCGTTCAAGACATTGTTCGAAAAATCTGTGTACTTTGATTAAAAAGTTGATTGGAGAGGGGAAAACTTATAAAGGGGTGCAAAAAATGAGCCAGTGATCACCTCCAGGATGATAAAAGACTTTCTGTACTTTGACAGTTAGAAACGTCTTTGTGAAGCTAATCTATTTTCAAGAATCATCTGCAAGTTCCTCTGTTTAAAAAAAAAGGCATGTACAGAAGAGGTTACAATTTGCAGAAGAACACATCAACTGGCCTAAAGAGAAACGGAGAAACATTTTGTGGACTGATGAGGGTAAAATTGTCCTTTATTGAGCCCAGGGGCCACAGACAATTTGTGAGTCGACCACCAAAATCTGAATTTAAGCCATAGTACACAGTGAAACAGTGAAGCATGGTGGTGCAAGCATCATGCTATGGGCATGTATCTCCTACTATAGTGTTGGGCCTATAGTGTATCGCATTCCAGGGATCATGGATTTAGTTTAGATATGCCAAAATACTTGAAGAGGACATGCTCTTAAAATGGTTGTTTCAACAAGACAGTGATCCCAAACACACTAGTAAACGAGCAAAGTCTTGGTTCCAAACTAACAAAATTGTTGTTATGGAGTGGCTATCCCAATCTCCAGACTGTAATCTAATGGAGAACCTGTGGGGTGACATCAAAAATGCTGTTTCTGAAGCAAAACCAACAAATTTAAATGAATTGTAGAGTGCTGTTAAAGAATCGTGGAGTGGAATAACAGCTGAAAGGTGCCACAAGTGGGTTGACTCCATTCCACACAGATGTGAAGCAGTTATAAAAAGTGTGGTCATACAACTTATTATTAGTTTAGTGATTCACAAGATTGCAAAATCCTAAAGACACTAATATTTGTACAATTTTACAATGCTATTTTTTGTAAACACAACACTTTCAACTAATTGCCCAATTGCACATCCTTAAGAGCTTGCATATCATGAATGCTGGGTCCTGTTTGTTTTCTGATAATCTACTGCACCTACTGGTAACTTGTTTGCCATGTATCAATAGAAAAAAAAAAAACAATCCTAAAAACCTGGATTATTCTGGCTAGTCACGTTGTATTGCTATTATTTTGAACAATACTGTATATAACCTTTTCCCAATAAAAGTCAAATATATTTTTCCTAATTCGTGTAATTTTAATATTATTACATTTTAATTACAAATGATGGTTCCTGAAGCTGTGCTGTAGTCAGATTTCACATTTAGAAAAGCTTTAGGTTATGATTTGGTATGCATGCACATTTTAACAAATGTAAAGGCCTTCCTGGTTTCTGTATGTATGCTATATAATATATTAGGTTTGACACGTGTTAAAATGCTTTTTAAATGCTTATTTTGGTTTACTTGTTGTGTTTTAGTGTATATAATTCAAGATGTTTTTTTTATATGATAAATCTCAACCATTTAAATAAATATTCATTTATTTAATATGTGATTTTTAAATGAGCAGCTGTTGCCTGAATGCTCAGTTAGTGAATGATATCAAATGTTTTATATGACCATTTCAAATCTGGATGTGCATTAATTCTTTTGCATTTTATAACAGCAAACACTCTTTATGGACCTCTGCACACCAAACAGGCTGTTCAGCAGTATCTGGCAGCCATAGAGCAGGCAAAACAGCAGGGTGGGACTCTTGTGTGTGGAGGAAAGGTATTGCTTTTCATCTCTCAGAATGGCAGCAGTGTGATTACAGCAGAAATATAGTTACACTTACTACCCTACATTTATGATCATGATGTTCCTCAAGGTCTGTGGTTTTTAATAAAGATGTGGAAGAAAGTTCGTAATTTAGCCCTTTAATGATATTTATATTTAATGACATTCAGTCGTTTTTTTAAGGTCTTTAGCAAAAGTTGTTTTCCAGAATAACAAAGTTTGTTTATCCCCTCCTTGGGAAAATTACAAAAAGCATGTTGTCCTTAAAAAGCACTGCTGGAAGGTAAAACTACATGAGGAGCCGTTACAGCTTTACTCACAGGGTTCTTATGGGTCAGGGACCCATAAGAAAGTCAAAGAATTTAAATAATTTTTGTCGAGGTCATGGAGTACCAGAGATTTTTGATTATAACTTAAAATTTAGATATCTATCTGTCTGTCTGTCTGTCTGTCTGTCTATCTATCTAATCACCTTGAAATTATGAGGTTCTATCTGCGTTCTGAATGATTTTGAGATAATGAGCTTTAAAGTTTTTGCATTCCATAGCAAACAGTGGTTGTGTATATGTTATAATTCTAAGGTGATTTTATATATATATATATATATATATATATATATATATATATACCTTTTTACCCAGCTGTTGTGATTAGGCTATGTTTCAGCTCTGTTTTATTCCTTTCATGCTCATCCACTTGCAGCCATTCAAGTCCAGTGTAGTCATCAGACTGTACCTGTTAACTTAGCTACTAATTTTAACAGGATAGTATAAATTCTTTCTGCAGGTATGCAAACAATCTCAAATTGAGGTAAATTATGTTGTTTTCATATTGGCTATTTATTCAAGCTAAAAAAAAACATATTATTATATTATTATAAATACATGAGCACAAAGCAGCCTTCTTTAAGTTCATTAGATATTAAGATTTTTAGTCATGGAAAAGTCAAGGAATTTGGTATTTAGCTCAAAGGGGGAACCCTGAACTCAACCATTCACAAAGTGAACCCCCTGCACAAATTTGTGTGTGTATTTGCTGATCTGCATATCAAATTCTGAGAGCATTTAAACAAATATACTTATATAAATAATATCTTAGAATCAAACAATATATTATAGAATAAATATTTATAGAAATAGTAAGGTAATATATTTAAACCCATGCAAATTCTAGCAAAATTTATTTTTGGTTTCTCTTAATCCCCCCCTGGATTAGTTCCAGGCTTTAGTGCTGGCTAATCTAATGTAAATGCACAAGTACAGCATACATGACTATTAATATGTATATGAATTTTTTAAATTCTGTTTGTAATTGTTACAGCAGCTTAACGGATCAAGTTTTAAAATGAAACTGCTTCAAACTTATGATTCAGTGATTGAAGTACAGTTCACAAGACACATTAGAAAATATTAAAGAGTTTTAATTTGTGCACTTTGCATGATTAAATTTTAATAAATGAAGTGTGTAGAACATTAATTAATCGCTAGAAAGTAGTTCATAGTTAATTAGAAAAAAGTAATATTTAAAATGTTATTTGACACATAAATTGCATTGCTGTAAAGTTGACTGTTCTCCCAGTTTAACAACTTATACTTTTATTTCTTTGGGAAGAAGTGTCATGCAAATTTTAACATCATGGTCTGGATGAGGCATTTATTTTGAGCTCTGAAATTTTATTTGACAGATCATGGATCGGCCGGGTAACTATGTGGAACCCACTATTATCACTGGACTACCGCACAATGCTTCTATAGTTCACACTGAGACCTTTGTGCCCATCCTTTATGTGCTGAAATTTAAGGTGGGCTTCTTTACTATGTTGTATTTTGCTAACTTTATCAAATGATTAGTATTTTGCTTGAAATAGTGTTTTCTCTCTGGGTTCAGACAGAGGAAGAGGCATTTTCCTGGAATAACGAAGTTAAACAAGGGCTCTCCAGCAGTATCTTTACTAAAGACATGGGAAGAGTGTTCCGCTGGTTAGGGTATGTGTGCAAAGGCACTTTCTGGATTTGAAGTCACTTGACACAGGTCTTGCTTGATAAACCAAATTGTTTTACTATTGAAAACTCTTTAGTAACACTTATCTGTTGTATAGTCCTAAAGGCTCCGACTGTGGCATTGTGAACGTTAACATTCCTACTAGCGGTGCTGAGATTGGAGGAGCGTTTGGTGCGTATATTATACACCACACCATTCTAAAATTAACTAACTAAACTTACATTGAACTTTTTTCAGTGATAAGCCTTATTGTTGCTAGTCCTAAAGCCACCTTCAATAATTGGTAACTTCCACCAATTGGAAATATGCTTTTCAGCAATTATGACTTTTTAGTTGCAAAACGCATTGAAATACTAAATGATCTTTAGATGAAGCTTTACAGAAGTTACCAAAAATTTTGTTGAACATTCTTTTTATAGATTTGTGTATTTAAGTTAAAATACCTGGGGCCTGTTTCAGTAAGAAGGTTCAACCTACTTGAAGTTTAAACTTGAACTCAGAGTTTTTAATCTCTCGGTAAGTCAACTCAGAGTTTCCAGTTTCAGCACAGCTAATCTGAGTTTGGTCAATCAACTTTGAGTAGACTAACTCAGAGTTAAGCGCGCACACCACAACTATAAAAAGGCATTATCAATGGAGCACAAATATTACGAGTCACCATGGCAACATCTGAAAAAAAAGAGATCAGCATTTCTTTCTCCAGCTGAACTTGATGTGCTCATGCTAAGTTATAGCAAATATGAGCATATATTTAAAAAAGCTACACTACCGCATCAATGAAAGAGACAGTTAGCGTGGGAAACAGCTGCTCAAGTTAATGCATAACTAAAATAAGTAATGTAAAATGTGACATTTGTTGACTTTTCACTTGAAAAAGAGGAAATTAGCCGTAATTTTGAAGTTATTTCAGATCTAATTGCACTAAAACACATCAAATAGGCTACTACATATTTTCAACAACTAACTTGACAAAACAAGAATGCAGAGAACCTTAGCTTAATGTTCAGTGGAAATGTTTAATTTAAGGTTCTTCATTTTACACACGTTGATCAACTTTAGAAATTTTGTGCTAAACTGAGTTTATAATAGATGTAAAAGTGCACTTGTTTGTCTGCCTTTATTATTGATTAAGTGGTAGAGGTTAATGTGACGTTTAAAATGTAAGCAGAACTAAAAAATAGTTTTTAGAATGTGTAATAATCCAATGTTTCCTAGAGATGGGTTGTAGCTGTAAGGGCATCCGCTGCGTAAAAACTTGCTGGATAAGTTGGCCGTTGATTCTACTGTGGCGACTGCGGATTAATAAAGGGACTAAGCCGACAAGAAAATGAATGAATGAATAATAATCCCATTAATCTAGTTACAGTATATGTCCCTGTCGAAGGTCTTATATTTATTTATTATTAAATGGACTAGCCATTATCCTACGTGACTTTATTATTTGTGTGACTGAAATGTAGGCATTAGCTATGTTTCCATCCAAAAATGCTAATTAAATTTATGTGCAAAACTGGAATATTGCATAATAGACATGCGAATAAAGCAGCATTTCCATCAAACGAGTCAAAGAGAACCAAATCGTCACTTCAGTTTAACTGGCACTAAATATCAAGAGTAAAACCAGAATTTTCTGTGGTAGGAGAAGTTATGGTAATCTTTTTTTATTTAATAAATGACTTTTACCTCAGAAGACGATGCCAACACACAATGAACATGGAGTGCATGGTGGCACTTGGAGCCATCAGACGTGGAGAACAAACGCTCTTGACGCACTCCAGACGCTCTAGAGGTCATTAATAATATAGCAACATTAATACTAAAATAGTTAAGGCGTTTAGAAAGTCCAAAACAACATTTCAGATGGTTTACAGTGTGCTCAGCCTGCTGGTTTGTCCATTAACACACATTTTCATCATCATATGATCTCTTAAAACAAACATTTTTTAATACACATACTGGAATTTGATCAGTAAAAGTGTTTCCATCATAGATTATGCACATCTTTTCTTATAGAATAAAAAGTTTATCCTACTCCATTTTTTTGTGCCTATTTTCAAAAGTTATGTGCGTCTCGACATTTCAATCAACCGATTTAAAAAAAAAAAAGATTTTTTTAATGCTCATATCCAAAGTGCACATATAAATATGTGGGTGAAATACCGCTTTATCGTTAAAAAAGGGGAGGAGACTGAGAGAAACTCAAGTTTAGAGAATAAAACCTGCTCCTGACCAGGTTAGAGTAACCATGGTTAAAGTTAACTCTCTTTCAGAAACAGGCTTGACTTACTCTGCTTTCTCGAGTTTGACAAACCTGCCATTTTGAATCGGAAAAACCAGAGTTTCTCTCATTTCAGGGATAATATACTTAGTTGTCACTTAATCTCCTTTCTGAAACGAGGCCCTGTGGTAATGTGTTTATAGGCTTCCCACTTGAGGGTAAAACTTTAAAGTTCATTTATACAAATTTGTACAAAGGGCTTATGTAGCAAGTGATATTAAAAGACCAAATTCAATACACCCTTTAGTGATGGTGTAATGTTTTAAGCATTGAGTTCTCATACATCACACGATCAGGACAAAGATTTGTTGATCAATATCTGCTCACACTGTAGTGTAACCACTTTTAACCGAAGGAATGACATTCAGGTATACATTTCATCACGTTGATTCCCCTCGCCCGCACACCCCCATGTTCTTGCTGGAGGCTATACATTCTTTATGAAAATCATCAACTTTTCTTGCGTGTGTTTGGACAGGAGGTGAGAAACACACAGGAGGTGGGCGCGAGTCGGGCAGCGATTCTTGGAAGCAGTACATGAGAAGGTCCACATGGTAAGTGCAAGTCTACATTGCTATCAAACTGTACAGCATGCTTTAAATAACAATATAGTTTATCACAAAACAACAGATGTATCGACTTCCCGTGTTCTTGCTCTCTTTTTGCAGCACCATCAACTACAGCAAAGATCTGCCATTGGCCCAGGGGATCAAGTTTGAATGAATCATGATGTTGCCTAGTTAGTGGTGTAAAATAGCATTCATGATAGACACAACCCTGTGTTCATGTTTGTTTCATATAAATCTGTTTGTACTCCCACAGTCCACTGATCATTGCAACCCTTGTTTTGTAGCACTTAATGCTTGAAGATTTGATGATGTTAATTAAACTATGAATTAATTAAGCCAGTGTTTGTTAACCTTTTGTTAACAGTTGTGTACTAGGTATACTACTTACCTTCAACCTGCAGTCACTACTTTATTTTTTTCTTGTCTATGGGGATTAGAAAAATCAGTCCTGTGAATTATTCCTGTCCAATCAAATCACACATAGAAGGTAAATCACATCATAATGAACTCCCTCAACACATGTGCACTTTATAATTGCAGCAAACTGTTTGGAAGCATTAAAAGTGTCCAAGAAGATGTCCAAAATCCTCACATGCATTAACCCAGAGACTGTTTAGATGCAGTTCACTGATGAGATGACGGATGTTTAAGGTATGATGACCAAAATGGCCTTCAACACTCAACAGGCGCAAGATGTCAACATGACACCAGATTGAAGTTGTACCTTAACGTCGTGTGGACGTTGCATTTTGTTTGGAAATGAAAATCAGGTTGACATCAATGTCAAAATCAACCAAATATCAATGTCTAATGTTACAGCTTGATGTTGTGTGGACATGATCACTATGACATCTATCAGATGTTGGATTTTGGTTACTTTCTAGCCCAACCTAAAAATCAACCAAATATTGACGTCATTTGACATTATTGGACATCAAAAAAATTGCCCTTAGATGCTGGCTAGACATTGAATTTTGGTCACCTGACATAACAACCTAAATCTAACCTAATATAAGTATCTTATGACATTATGTGTCTGCTGGACAATAACTGAATGCACTACAGAATGTTACGTTTACACACATCCACAAATTACTTGTAAATGCATCAGCTTTTCACAGTGTAATACTCTGAGTACTTTGAAAAGGTCTTTTGAATATTACTCAATATTCATGAGTAGTATTTACTACAGATACTTTCTCTACTTGCACTACATTTTTAAGCAAGTAATGGTACTTTAAGTAAGATTTTTCAGTATTCTTTCCACCACTGGTGATGATCCTACTGAAGTCACAGTTCAATATGCACCTCGATTTTGGGGTCACGGTTGATACAGGTATGGTATAATATGAAAAGTAACACATCCTCTGTGCTTGCTTTTCTGTTAGTTTTGAACAGACAGAAGTGTTTTGTGACAATCAGCAAAAGAGCTGTAAAGCTACTTGTGATGCAAAAAGACAGAATAATGAAAGAGAAAACTTTATAACTAAACTGCGAAATAAACTTTCAAAGTTTGAGCCCAACCCTCTCCTAACAGCAAAAATTGTGCATAAATTCAGTAAGCTAAACTCTACTGCAAAATGCTAGTACTGACTGGAGGTCTGGTCATCACAGAATGTCAGATGGACAACAACTCTTCAATTCTGTGAGTTTGTGTAAAAAAAAAAAAAAAAAGCTTTTTTTGTGTATCTTCTGTAGCACCTTGCAGGGGTGGTCTAAAGTCCAGCGCAGAGTGTGTTAGTTGTGCGCCTCGCTTACACACTGCTTCATTCACACAAGATGTAGAGCAATACGCAAATATCTTTACATATGAAAAATAATTAAAGGAATAAAATAACAAAATATTATTTTCTAGCCTACATAAATATAAAAAACCACTGCCTTCATCTCAGGGGGCTTTTTCAATTTATTCATAATTTGCTTTTGTATAATGTTATCATTATTAGCAGTATTATTTATTATCAGCATATTTATATTTGTTCTATTAAAACAAGCTTAGATTTGTCCACCTGTCAGGCTCTAGACCATATGGGGCACAGCATGTGTATTTGGCTATAACTCAGTTTTTTGAGCACACTTTATTATTATTGTTCATTTATTCGTTTGCTGGAAATTAGAACTGAATTTAGAAATAGTTTTGAAACAAATATTTGTGCTTAACAAACAAAATTAATTATGTAGGCAAATGGATATCTGTGCGTACAACACGTTTCCCTATCCACGAGAGCGAAAGTAAAGAATGAGGAGGCTCATCTCTCATTCTTATGCTGTAGATGCTCAGTTTAACTGTTTTCTTGCTAGTGAAATGCTCAGTTTTTCCCCTTACAAAGTCCGCCATGTAAATAGCAAGTGTGCTATGGACTCTTAAAGGGAATGGGAGATGAGACTCTGATTAGTTTATTCTCAAAACACAACTATAACTCATGGAGAGAATAAACTCAACCCTGTTAGACCATGCGCGGCGACGCAAAGCAAATTTTTACCATCGTTAAAATAGCAAAAGTGGATTCTGACATGCCCTGAATGCTTTTGCACGCTGCACTTTGATCTTTGCGCATGGATCGTCAAAATAGAGCCCAGATACATACTTTGTGAATGGCTGCAACGATGTTGCACTTCTGTGGTCTTATCTGCCTAACTTTAGTGACTGGACTGCCGTCATGGTTCAGTACGAATACATATACCATTACACCCATACCAAGTACAAAGTTATGCTCTTAGTCTTAAAATTGTTAGTTTGTCATTTAACAGCTTTCATTAGAAATGCAATGTTCAGAGGTCACCTAGTTTTACAGAGGCCTATACTACAAAGTGAGTATAGGAGGCTATGCAAAAAAGTTTGCACAGGTGGTTGATTTCAATTCAGCTCAGTCCTTGATTCATCTGTGGTTGCCACAGCAGAATGAACCACCCAGTGCAGGACTCATCTCCATCCCTCTATGGGATATTGTAGTTTTAAAAACTGCCAAAGTGCTTTAATTCAGATTTATTCAGAAGATAAGCATTTTCAAAGGTTTATTTCATTGTCACATTATATGCATTATGTAACATTCAGTTTATATAAATCAAATTTGATCAATTCACAAAATACCAGCTAAAATTTGAGAGGCAAATTTACTTATCACATTTAAAGAGAGAGTTCACCCCAAAATCAAAATGTACTCACCCTTAAGTAGTTCTAAAATGTTAGGTTTCCTTTTCATGGTAAAGACAAAAAAAGATAATTTGAAAAATGTTAGAAACCCCTAACTAGGCCCACACGAAATCTGCGAGCGCAATATTATTGACTAATATGAAAATGTTCATCTGATTTATGCACAGTAGAGTTTGTAACGTAATATTTTCTGTCTTTTAGTATATATATATCATATGAGAGACTTGCTTTGTTTACAAAATAAAGTGAATCTAATTAGATTTGCAATTTAAACATTAAATAAAAGTTAAAAAGGTATTACTTTTTATTTCACTAATTAAGGTTTTAGTTACAATTCTCCCAAAATAATTCTGCAGAAATCTGCAGATTTTAACCAAAAATCTCAGCAGAAATGGCAAAAAATGTCCGCAGATTCCGCCTGGCCCTGCCAGTAACCATTGAGTTCCATTGTAGGAAAACTAAACGGATACCAAGGAAGTCAACGGTGCTAAAATCCAGCATTGTTCTTAACTTATTTTGTGTTCAACAGAAAAAGAACCTCCACAGGTCTGTGACCAGTTAAGAGTGAGTAAATAGTGACAGGATTTTCAGTTTTGAGTGAACTTTCTGTTTAACCAATCAGAAAAGTAACATTTTTCTTGTTTTATAACAAGCACTTTGTAAAGCTGTGCTTTCTAGCACACAGATATAAAGTACCCTCATGGAATTTTACAGAAAAGAAAAAAAATGACTATATTATATAATGATGTTGATGTAATGCTAAATATGTACATGTATGCTTTTTCTACAGTGAAGTTGGTTCTGTAGTCTAATCAACAGTACTACATTAAGCATCACATTATCTAGACCTACACACGTTAGAGATAAAGGGCCAAGATGAGGCATTCAGAGACAAGACCGCTTGAACAATTAAGTGCATTCAAACATTCCCTTTAGTCATAGGTGTGTTATTTAACATGAAAAACAAAAGTGTGGCCCTAATAATGTGTATTAAATGATGTGGGAATATAGACCTTGATATTAATGAGTTCTAAACCGTTCCTAAAAGTGTCACGATAGGACAATGTGTATTTGAAAGTAATTAGGTCTACATACAGCAAGACAACCAGCATTGCAACATTTAAGATTATTCACAAAACATTTAAATATGTGCATATAATCAGTTAGCTTCAATTTACATTTTATAGAGTGACAAGAACACTTTCAATGACAAACCAGTATGTACAAACCGTTTAGATCAGGGGTGGGCACACTTGATCCTGGAGGTGCCGGTGTCCTGCACAGTTAAGCTCCAACTTCAATCAAACACACCTGCTTATAGATTTCTAGTAATCATGAAGACACTAATTAGCATGTTCAGGTGTGTTTTATTAGTGTTGGAGCTAAACTATGCAGGACACCGGCCCTCCAGTATCAAGTTTGCCCATCCCTGCTCTAGATAACCTCACAATCTCTGTTGAACAACAGCTGATGCTGAGCGTTTTTGAACATGAGCAAAAAACTCATATAAAAACCACTCAAAGCAACAAAAAAAAAAAACGTACAAGGTAATAACAAATGCTATTTAAAGCAATGAGCAGATCCAGTTTGGAAGACTAGGATATGTCAATTCCATTACAAATGGAAAAAAGGTCAAATAATTAAATCCACAAATGAACAGAGTGGGTAAATGGAACAAGGCAATGGAAAAATGAAAGAAATGAAAAGGCATTGTGCCTTGCAAAAAGTAACTTCAAAAGTGTGGAACTGCATTTTAAGTATACAATGATTAGCCTTCCTGTAAATTGATTCTGTTATTTAGATATTTCCCAAGTGATGTTTAACAGAGTAAGGACATTTAACAGTAATTCCTATAATAATGGCAGATTTACATTTTTAAAGCTGCGGTCACACTGCACTTTTCTCCCCATAGACCTCCATTCATATGCAAGCGAAACTGCATCGCTTGACGATCGAGGATTAAACATCCGCTTGTTAAGTGTGACGTCATGCGAAGCGCTGCCGAGTCTAAGCGCTCTATACAACGGTATGGGGAGACTCATGAAATAGTAATAATAAACGTTTACAAAGTGATTTAATACGTTCTAAAATCACGATCGCAATATATACACGTCCATGCCTTATATCCGATGGCCAGAAAGTGATTCAATTTTTAATAAATTAAAATTTTGGTATTTGTGATGCAGCAAGATTGTTGTGTACACTATGACTTTATATCAAATTAACTTTAATGTGTGATATGAATCAAAAGTAATCATAAACGAATGATTTCTAAACTCAAATGAGTAGCGGCCTGGACCCGGAAACAGTATTAAATACGTCACCAACACATCACCACTTAAAGCGGATGACCTCTCTGTACAGGAGCAATTGCTCGCTTTTTTAAATGTCTAATCATCTTGGTTAATCCTGCCTTTTTTCGCAGCACTGTACGACAGAATTTTGCAAGCTTTAAATGTAGTTTGACCGCAGCTTTAGGTCAATATCATTAGCCTTCCTAAGAATTTGTCTCCCTGATTGGCTTCAGAACAAACCACTGTGCCGATAGCTTCACTAATTAACCCAACTTATCTAGTTAACAAAATAAGCCTGTAAATAAAACTAGCATCTTGCAAAATATTAAAATATGTACTATCATCAAGGCAAAGACAAATGAAATCAGTTATATGAAATAAATATTTAAAGGGGACCTATTATGCCCTTTTTGCAAAATGCAAAATAAGTCTTGGATGTTCCTAGAGTGTGTATGTTCAGTTTCAGCTCAAAATACCACAAGCATTTTGTTCATGACTTGTTCACAACAAATGGCTGTGTGTGAGCGTAGCAGAAGATTTAAAACTCTAATAGTGGACTGCTGCTTGTTTATGCTTATGAGGGAGAGATCTTGAGTTACAGGTGGGGCTTTCCCCCTCTGATGACATGTAGAAAGATTTCATGTGTGATTATGAAAAAGTGGAATTCATTTTGTACCACTAGAGGCTGACAACATTCACACACTGTGGCTTAAACAATCACTTCATTAAACAGTAGTTGGGGAAATATTTAAAAAATCAATACAAAGATTTAACAAGAGGGCTAATCATTTTGACTTTAACTGTATATAAATCCGTGTGTCAGTGTATCTTTTGGTCATTGGATTTTCATTTTAGAAACTGATACTGAACACTATAAAACATTTTTTAATTTTTGTTTTAAAATTAAAAAACGAAATCAAGATTCAAAGCGTTTTTTGATTTTCGTTTTTTTAATTTTAAAACGAAAAAATAAAAAAAAACGGCTCGATTTTCTTTTTCATGGTATTTCATCATGGTTTTTCACCGCAGAATGAACCACCAACTTATCCGGTAAGTTTTACAAAGCGGATATCCTTCCAGCTGCAACCCTATTTCTGGGAGAGGCTAGCCTACTATAGGCTATTATATTTTTCTCATTAATAATGCTATAAAAGGTATTTTCTTGTTATAACAGGATTTTCTTAATACATATTTTTCTCATTGAACATAATTGACAATATATGCATTATTTGCATTGCTGAACAGGTGCAAAGTTTTTGCTAAAAACAATCACACTTCAGGAGTGACAGTACAATTAGACATTCATTTGGAATCATTGTGTAACTCTCAGTCAGTGTTATAGCTCCGTGGTGTGTGTGTGTATGTGTATATATATATATATATATATATATATATATATATATATATATATATATATAGCAGTTGGCTATTTTCTATTTATAATTTCTGCTGCTATATTTGCACATGGCTATAGACCCATTGTATGCAATGGGGGATAGACCCATTGTAGCAGGGAGATGACGCACGCACACACCTGTGAGCTTAGCCATAGTCTGTTTTTAAAAGACAGGGGATGCTAATCAGAGTGTGCAGCATGTCTCCTTTCAGATAAAATGAATTGTTAATTTTTATTTTAAAGTACTACGACTTCTTAAAATGTGCGCAATGAACAACTGTATTAATGCCTCCCTCACTTTAAATGATTTGTGGTCAAACTTCGGGCATTGGAAGTTTTAATGTTTTAAACAATATTAAAACTTTCTTTCAGAAAAGTGTTCAGCAAAGCAACCTAAAGCTTGCATGTAATGTCGAAATAAAAATAGTTTCATTTAAAATATGCTAACAAAAATTAAATATATAGCCTATAACGCCCCTTATTCAATTCAATTCAATTCAATTCCTATAACGCCCCTTATATGTGAAATATGTTGTCCTAATGAGGAAAATATGTCTTAACAAAATCCTGTTATAACGAGAAAATATTTTTTAAAGCATTATTAAGTGGGGAAAAAAAATAGTAGCCTATTCACTAATCTTTTTGGCTCGAGACTTTCAGGCTAATTCACTTCCATTCATTTTTAGACATTAAAAACAGCTCGTTATGCTGCTTGATGTTGCAAACTGATAATTTCTTAATACATTATTCCACTTGGTCTGTATAGTCATACAAACATTTGTTTGTAGAGCAAGTCGTTTGACTGTTTTCTGCCGTTTATTATTCCTAGTCATTTCTCCCATAGGCGACTGAAACGGAAGTTCTAAGACAATTGCGAAAACAGGCGCACTGCCGCATTTTAGAATAAGGCCAATAGTAGGCAAGCAGGTCAGCATTGTGTCGCCTTGAATGAGCCAGCCTATCTGGTTTCAGAATATAAAAAACAAGTCTTTATTCATTTTAGTTTTCTGGTGATTTTATTTTTTGTTATTCGAAATAAAAAATGAAAATCAAATCATTTTTGATTTTCTGCTTTTCACCATGAATTTTCACCATTTTATTTTCATTTTAAAATTCAAAAACCAAAATCAAAAAACGCATTGAGACCTGGAAAGCGGTCTTGAACAGGGTTAACTCTTCCTCAATCTGTGCACGTCACAGGCTAATACAATGCAAGGTAGTGCATAGAGCTCACTGGTCCAAGAGCAGGCTAGCTCGCATCACCCCGTCTATAACCCTGAGTGCAACAGGTGTCATTCTGGTACAGCTACTTTATTCCATATGTTTTGCTCCTGTCCTTCCCTGCTTTCTTTTTGGAGACAAATATTTCTCTCGCTATCAGCTATTACCACTGTTGATATCCCACTATGTCCAATTATTGGTTTATTTGGTGTTCTTCTGCCCGACCACACTCTACCCTCTCATTTTGTAGACTTTGTAGCCTTCTTAACCCTTCTGGCTAGGCGATTAATTCTTCTGAACTGGAAGAGCCCTCACCCTCCTTCTCACACTTGTTGAATAAGAAATGTTCTTTATTTTATCAAATTAGAAGAAATGAGTTACTCTCTTCATCGAACTAGCACTATTTTTATTAAATTGTGGGAACCCCTTCGCAAATATATCCAAACTCTTCAGCTTGACCTTGCTCCTTCTGATCGAGTCCCCACCCCCTAATGCCCAGCTTTTACGGGAAACTATTTCTGGTCAACACATTGTAGACTTGTTTTTTCTGTATATAAGATTGTACTAGTGTTGTTGTTTTTTATTTATTTATCTATTTATTTTTATAATTATTTTTTATTTATTTATTATTATTTATTTATTTATTTATTTTTATTATTATTATTATTTGCTCAAAATACTCTTTAGTGTATTTGCTTATTGTTACATGTTTATGTTTTAGTATATTTTTGTAATGTTTCACAATGTATAAATAAAAATACATTAAAAAATGCATTGAATTTTAATTTTCGTTTTTTAATTTTAAAACAAAAATCAAATAATGGCTTGTTTTTGTTGTTTTTGTTTTTTCCAATATCTGTTCCTAAAATGAAAATCCAAATGACCAAAAGATACACTGACCATGAATGAACTACAAATGTGTTCCACTGAAAAAAAAAATGCAATATGGGAACAATTTCAATTTAGGGTCGCATTACGAGTTCTGGATTTGTTTTCAGTTGATGGTTCAGTATGTTGCGTTTGAACAAGCAACCAAAGTTTGCAAGAACAGTCAGAATTAGTTGGCAATCAGAGTAAGAGGAAGAACAACAAATAATAAATAAGCACATCATATAGCATATAAACTAATGTTAGTGTTTTGGGAAAGCATGCACAATATTTAGTGTCCTTAGGGAGTGTAGTCCACATAACATTGTAAAGCCAATCTGTAATCTGAAGTTACATTCATATGTGGTGTCAAATCACTTTTACAGTACATCTACTAACAAACATGTGGGAGGAAATGTAGTGTACAATAGGGAAATATATAGGAACAATTTGTGTCCTCTTGGTCAATTTGTGATAACTGCAAGATGACCGCTGAAATAGCACGACCTTCTAAAACACCCCTCTACTTTCAGGCCCATAAAACACACACAAGGAAGAAATACATATTTGCACTGAGCGCCGATGAGGGAGTGTTACCCTTTTTAGGGGGTCTGGGATCCAGATCTCTTGAAGCTACCCAGCAGACTCTGAACACCCTTCTTCACGCTTGAGCCAACTCTGCGTGCCACAGAATCGGCAGGTGGGCCTGGCAGACAAGAGCTGCCACTGATGGGAGGACGAGCATCCAAACACTTCTGATACCTTAGCTGTGAATTACGGAAGATGGCATTTAGACTCGAGACATCTTTGAAAAATAGCATCACAAACAACTACAGTAGGTTTGTAGGAGTGCTCTTAACATACAGCTGAAGTCAAAATTGTAAACACTCCTGTGAAATTTCACAGGTGAAGTTTACTTGGAGCAAAGAAGTCACTGCATTTGCTATATTTTTTCTTCTGGAGACAGCCTAATTCATTTTAGTTTGAATGGAAAAAAGCAGTTTTAACAAATTTAAAGAGCCCCTATTAAACATTAAAAAGGGTATATTTTGGTTTTAAGGGTCTCCGACAACTAGCTGACATGCATGCAAGGTCAAAAAACTCTTTCATTGCCTTATAATCTGCATTTATTTTTACCTAATTATTCCAGCGACTCCAAAAGGAATTGTTCAGAGATTCATTTGTTCCCAAACCCCTCCTTAGCGTAAAGCTAATCTGCGCCAATTGGACTGTTTACAGCCTGTTGCGACTGGTCGACTGCGTCTAGTGCGAGACAGAGGAAAATGCCCACCAGGTGTGTGTGAGCATACCGGCCAACTCTCCTGTTTTTCCCGGGAGTCTCCCGTATTTCAGACCCATCTCCCGTCACCCTTCCGTTTAGTCATTTATCCCGGAAAACTCCCATAATTTAAATCAAAAGTCCCATACATCAAGTCTTTTCCTTAAACAAATGGCAGACGAATCCCCGGTTGTAAGCGTATAGATTCCAGGGAACACAGCACAAGGCTGGGTTAATAATGCTGAAATATTTTTGCAAAAATAAACCTCAACCACTGACTCTTCACAGTTTCATCTTTGGGTAGAGGAAAAAACACGAACTTTTCCCTCAGCACAGCGTTTTCATGACTTGATTCAACCGGGATCTGCTACAGTGTTTGTGGGTGCGGCCGCAGGTTTCAATTTTCCCAGGTTTGAGCACACAAATTAGTTTTGTATCAACATCATGCTTAATCGGCTAAAGACTCGTTATTAAGACGATTCCTTTAAAGCAATACGAGTCGACTCTTTTATAACTCAATCAATAGTTTTAAACACTGTGCACTTTCAGATTTAGGCCTTAGCTGGATATTTCACTTCACTTAGAGCTGTGTTACACACTACATGGAAGGTCATTTTTAAAATCCCATAATAGGGGCTCTTTTTATTTTTCCCATTGTCTACAAAGAAACCACCCTTGTGCGATAACTTTACCTACTTAGCATTATGATTTAAACTGCACTTTCGACTGAATACTAGTGTCTTGCATAACAAGTAGAAAAATATGATGTACTGTCATCATGGCAAAGACAAAAGAAATCAGTACCTAGCATTCACCATATGATCAGTCTAATGAACAAATGTTTAAAATTCCTGCAGTATATTTGAACTCTCACAGCGTTGGTTACCACTGACTTACACTATTTAAAATAAATAAAAACCAAGGACCCGCATTTCACCACAACCAACTTATTATGATAAGTATTATTATTATTTGTTAAATATAATTTAAAAAGTCACATATCATGTGATGGTCTGTGGATGAGTTAAGATTTGGAAATCAAATAAGTTATACAGACAATAGCACCTTTCACACAGTAATACCAGTAAATATTCGAAAAATTTCCGGAATGACCAGTAAATTTCAAAAAGCGCTGTTCACACAGGCGAGAACGTTATGGAATTTTTCCGGAAAAGACCATTTACAAGTTTACTCCGAAATACCAGTAAATTCTGACATCATTTATCAGAAACGACCTCTCTGCACTTGTATTTGTAAACATTTGACTACATTACAAACTCTGTGGATGGATAAGTAAAAATTAAAAATTATTAAAGGATAAAACATATAGAGAAACACTTTCGCAGTTTGAGATGTACATGATATGTGTGCGTGCTGGTGCTCACCAGCTGCCTCACGTGCAAGCACAACGCATCACGCAACTGAAGGAAGCAGAGCTTGAAAGTAAACAACAACGGCTAATCATAAGCATCTTATAGATAATTATTTACACAGTTGGCATTAAGAAGGAACATAGAAACGTTTTCTGACCAACATCTAGCAGCTAAATGTGTCTGGAAAAATACTCAAAGGCTTTTATCTTAATAAACTGCGTGGATGTGAATGTGTCTGAATGTTCTGATTGGCGAAAGTCAAAGTCCCTTTAAGGCAAGTTATTTCATTGGCAGCCATCTTTGAAACACCTCTCGGGCACGCTTAGGCATTCTGTCTGAATGGGAAAACACCAAATTCTCTGCTTGCCAACCAACTGCTTGCTCACCAACTGCTTGCCAAGCTTAGCATTGATTTTCACATTAGCAATCACCAATAAAATTAAATAACAACTGTGTCTCTAGTTCATTTCTAAACGTCCAAATCACACAAAATCTGCAGAAACTCATGTCTGGTCCGAGCCCCTCACCCAGAGCAAAGAGCATAGAATCACCAAGAGGCGACACTCTAGTGCAATTCGGGAAACAGCCGCTAGATGGCGCGGTGGCCATTTTGGAATGAAAGCTCCAATAGAACTACAGCATATTATAAGTCTGTAAAATAAACTAATAAAAGTCCTGATGATTGTGATAGTAAGTGTTGTATTGTCATCTTTTAGGTTGTATCTCAGCTTTATTGCGCTTTTTTAACAAATAAATAAATAAAAAACAAAGCAGCTGCTTGACATGGCGACAGCAAGATCCAATGGACAGCCGATTGCTTTCACTCCAAAATGGCGGAATCCGGGGCTGTTGCTGGGCGCTGCAGTTGCAATGTAACGTTCTATCCACTTGTTAAGTGGTGACGTGTTTGTGACGTATGTAATACTGTTTCCGGGTCCAAGCCGCCATTCATTTGAGTGAAGAAATCAATCGTTTATGATCACGTTTTATTCCTATCACACATTAAAGTTAATTTTATAAAAAATAATAGTGTACACAACAATCTCTGGGCTTGCTGCATAACAAACACCAAAAATTTAACAATGTATAAAAATATTAATAACTTTCTGGCCATCGGATATTAGGCATGGACATATATACTGTGATCGTGATTTTCGAAAGCATTAAATCACTTAGTAAACGTTTATTATTACCATTTCATGAGTCTCCCCATTCAATTGAATAGAGCGCTTGGACCCGGAAGCCGCTTCGCGTGATGTCACACTTAACAAGCGGATTGAGTGTTGCCTCTTGATCATTCTAAGCTCTTTGCCCAGAGTAATATCAGTCTAAAGCGATCGGTGATTGGCTCCTGTACTAGTAGGCGAGGCTTCATTCGCCATATTGACTCATTTTTTGCGCAATCTTCCTTTTGGGTTTACACAGCGCAGCATTCCAGCAAATTACCAGTAACATTACAACTTCTCTATCTAAATAGCCGGAACGAATTTACTGGTATTTTCAAAAAGGGCCTGTTCACACATACAGACCTTTCTAATGCTGTGTTCAAACCAGACGCGGAACGCGCGGATAAATCGCGATATTCACGCGTAAATAGTCGCGTAAACAATTGAGGTTACTCGCTTTATTCGCGCTTCAAACCCCGCTTTATTCGCGTGTCAAATTCACTTCAGAACAGACCAGGATTCACATGATGGGCAGGGCTTCTGTCTGCCTCGTCACTCTAGCTTCATAGCTAAAGGGCTAACATGGATTTTATGATGAAAATAACAGTGTTTATGTGCTTTATGAAGGATGATAAACAGCGTCGATACGTTTAGGGCCGTGTCTGAGTCCACTACATGCTTTCAGAGGTGCATCCAGCTCTTTAAGCTCATAGACTCCTACAGAAACTGAACCTGGCTGATGGAGGTTTTCAGCAGTGCTTCTGACTGAGCCCAGTACAGTTTGATGAACTTCTTGTCGGTGTCTGCTGGGGGATTTCCCCTGGGACACCGACAACAGGCGATTCGTCACAATCACGCCCCCACAAGAGCAAGCTCCTGATTGGTTAACGCGGCACGAATTTCCGCTGAAGTTCAGATTTTCGAACTCGAGTGATTCGTGCGAAACGTGCATTAAGCGTGTCAAACGCGCAAAACGCTCAATTCGCGCCACGCCATTCGCGCCATGCGCACCGCGCAATTCTCGTCATTCGTGCCGTGCCATTCGCTCGTATCGCGCCACAGGATGTCTATTCGCGCGTTTGCATTGACTTAACATGTAAATCACTCGCGCTTGACGCGCGTTCCGTTCCGTTCATTGCTGGTATGAAAAGGGCTAATGTCAAAATAGTGTTACAGTGCTTTTTTGTGGAAATATTTAGCTCAAAGTATTGTGAAACTATAGTATCATTGTATGAAAAGCATAAACAATTTATTCATCTTATTTTGTGTTCCACCTGCATGATACTCATTCCTCTAACAACAGTTTTACAGCTGCTTGAACTAAAAATGTAATGCTAGTTTTACAAGCAGCACGTGAATATTTCAGTCTCATCCACATCTGGGGCAACTTCATTTAATTGTATAGTATAGTAATGGGCAAGTATGTAAAGAATGTACTAGGTATTCCTTGCTCACCATGCAGGCAGCCTGTACGGCCTCACTTAGACTGGCTGCATTTGGATCACACCAGAACATGTGACATATAAAGTCTCCAGGTCCCTCTGCCATGATGAACGCAAAGGTGTGAACGTCTTTCCCGACTCCCATAAATGACAGGAAACGCACACGACACTCAGAGAGAACTTCCTCTGTCTGTTTGCGAAAAAAAGATAGAACTTCAGTGCAATTAACAAAGCTAAGCAGACATTTAAAATCAAGAATTGGGTATTCAAGTTAATAATACTTAAGTGTAAAAAAAAAAAAACTTGACCTCAGATGTTAGAACAGTAAGCGTAGCAGAGGCCACGTTTACAGTCACAGGTGTCCAATCCTCCTTGTCTTTGTTCAGGGCAGTCTCCAGTGCTACATTAATAACTTCCATCCCTTCAAATAACAAAACCAACACGACAAGCTTATTTCAGAGAACTAACTTTCAGTTAAAAATATAAACAGGTATTTTAAGCAGTCACAGATAAATGGCATACAATGGAACACAAGTAAAGGTAACAATTGGGGACAACTGAGGGGAAAATGCAGGAGAGTAAGGCATTTAAGGCCCCGTTTACACTAATGCATTTTTGTTTGAAAACGCAGAAGTTTTGCTACGGTTACGCCACCCGTTCACACTACGCCGGAGTTTTCGAGCGCCGAAAATGGAGCGTTTTGGAAACGCTGAAGAGGCCGTTTTCATACTAAAACATTAGAAAGGTCCGACCCTTCCTATCTGAACATGCAGCTCAACTCCTTGTTCAAGCTCTTGTTCTCTCCAGACTGGTCTATTGCAACTCTCTACTAGCCGGGCTTCCAGCTAACTCTATCAAACCTCTTCAGCTGCTTCAAAATGCAGCAGCACGAGTGGCCTTTAATGAACCTAAAAGAGCACATGTCACTCCGCTACTCATCTGTTTGCACTGGCTGCCAATTGCTGCTCGCATCAAATTCAAAGCTCTGATGTTTGCTTACGAAGCAATTTCTGGCTTTGCTCCTTATCTGCTCTCACTTCTGTAGATCTATGTGCCCTCCAGAAACTTGCGTTCTGTGAATGAATGTCGCCTCGTGGTTCCATCCCAAAGAGGGAAGAAATCACTTTCCCGAACTCTCGCATTCAATCTGCCCAGTTGGTGGAATGAACTCCCTAACTGCATCGGAACGGCAGAGTCACTCGCTAAAAACTCAACTATTTAGTCTCCACTTTCCTTCCTAATCTGCAATTGCCTCTCTGGTTCTACCGCTCACTGTACTACAAAAAATAAATAAATAAAAAAATTTACTAATGTTTTGCTTATTACACTTTACATACCTGAAACTTGCCTACAGCACTTATTCATTGTTGCTCTTATAGTTGTGTAAATTGCTTCCTTGTCCTCATTTGTAAGTCGCTTTGAATAAATGTGTCTGCTAAATGACTAAATGTAAAACGCTGCTGCTCCGTCTGAGTGTGGATGGGGTAAAACGGAGACATCTCAAAACGGAGGTGCGGCTGCCGACATTCGCCTTCTGATTGGGGCTTTTTCTCAATATTAAGTAGCCTAACGTTGCACACAGTTCAGTCCTGCATCCTTCTCTTGTAAGTTCAGACTTTGCAAGTTTGATAAGGCAAACAGACTCCTGAGAACATGTCAGTTAAATCTTCAAAGGGAACAGTGTACTTTATAACCTTACTCACATCATCCTGGCTACATTGTTTCACTATATCTTAATAGTAAAATGAAAACATGATATAAGGAACTGCTATTTTCATTTTGATATTAACAACTTTGATATTAACAGACAGCAGAATTGTTGAGGCATTGTGCAGCATATACGAGCGTCATCTTCACTGCATATGTATTTATAACAAAACGAAGCCTATAACATTACTGCCTCCTCTTCATTCATTTTGAGTGAAAATACGAAACATACCGTCTGTTTTGCTGAATATCATTATTACACTATAGCGTACAATAAGTTTATACATTATAGGAAATAAAGGCAAGCAATCAGTCAATATACAGAATGTACGTGGTTTCATTAATTATTATCTTTGCGATCACCCAAAACAAGTTACCCGAGAACAAGTAATAGATTCAAAAGACAAAACTCGGGAAATATGTCATTAGATATAGACAACAAGATGAATTAAATATCACGTTTAACAAATATAGTGAGATTAGATTCAGCTGGAGATCCTCGATGAACACTGAGCACAGCTCTCATCTGGGTAGATTTGCTGCAGCGCATGCCAGTGTGTGTGTGTGTGTGTGTGTGTGTGTGTGTGGTCACATGATGTGCGTTTTCAGCGTTTTGACGTAGACGGAGAGCTGTTCAGAAACGCTGGGTGAAACGCTAGAGTGGATGGGGATCGTTTTCATTCTAAAACGCACCAGTGTAAACGGGGCCTAAGATAAGAGAACTTCTTACCAACTGGCTTTGTCACTTGCACACGACCCAAATATCGCACTTGGAATCGTTGGACCAGCTCATTCTTGGGAACTGGGAACTCTGGAGGACAAAAGCTTAAGGTCATTCATAGTAGTACAATGCAAAAGAGTACATCATAATTTGTCTTTGGATCTTACCTTGAAAAGGGATGTCTCTTAGTCTTGAGGGGTCAGAGTTTAGTCTGCTTGATGACTTCCTCTGAGCCATAATCTGGAGTAATATAGACCACATAAGCACATCAACAATTGCATACTCAGTAGTAACTGTAGCTAACTTGCATATTTTAACTTCCATCTGGCCATCAAAATGGAGTGAAGGAACTTGACGTCAATTTGTATGCAAAAACCAGAGTTAGCAGTTCTGGTTCCCTCGTCCCAAAGTCAATAGGTTTTTTAATGGAATTTCAGTTAAATCGGTTATAACTTAAATAAGGTTTGTGGCTAACACAAACAAAAACAAAACTGAAATATTGGTATGTGGCTCTACTATCTTTGTCAAATAAATGGACCCATCCTTTGACATGGACAGGCTTTACATTAAGCCTTGATGATCTGTCTGTAATTTTGCCCCTCATATATCTTCTACTGTTAAAACTTTTTTTTTTCTCTTCAAAATATCACACATCTTCAATTCTCTCTAACTCTTGCTGTGGCTGAAATCTCAATGCAGATGGGGCTGGATTCGTGCATGGACTATTGCAATGCTGCTTTTTTGGTCTGCCTAAAAAAACTGGTTGCAGTAGGTTCAAAAATCAGCAGCAAAGCTTTTGTGTTAATACCCCCCTCAAGTTATGTAACACACTCATTGTTGGGGAGTAACTAGTTACATGTAACAGCATTACGTAATTTAATTACAAAATAAAAGTAACAGTAATTCGTTACAGTTACTGAGAAAAATGTGTAACTACATTACAGTTACTTGTGAAAATGTTTAAGAATACAAATGGGTTACATCTATAAATTCTCTTTAAAAACCTGGGAATATTAATCAGTTGCTTTGCCTGTTTTTGATATACACGAGGCCTTCTGCTAAGGCCATTTATTAAATCGTTGCTATTCTGATGCTTTTGATTTGCGGCGCACCCACAGGCATAAATCCCGGGGGGAACATGTCTTCATTATAAATGTTTGAAAATTATTTAGTTGAAAATGTCCATTCGAAACTTAAAAGTAATCAAAAAGTAATCAAATGTAATTAGTTACTTTACTTTTATAAAGTAATCGAAAAGTAGTGTAACTTATTACATTTTAAATAGGGTAATTTGTAATCTGTAATCTATTACATTTCCAAAGTAACCTCCCCAACACTGAACACAATACCCCTTTCACTTAGAAATAAATCATCTCTGTCTGTTTACGACTCTAAAACCCTACTAAAAACACATATTTTCAATCTGTATTTTAGACAATGTGGCCTCAATGGCCTTAAGCGTTTGTAATAATAATAAAAAAACTATATTAAATTAAATTCTATCTAACATAGACTTGTCATGGCATTTATACATTGCTGTTCTCTGGTGGTTAGAAGTGCTTTTTTATTTTCATTAAGAAGTCATTTTGAATATAAGCATCTGCTTGTCAACTACAAAACCCCTACTATCAATCACCACATATTCACTATGTTTTCTGATCCATTTCAAGTGTTAATTCTTCTTATAAATGTCTGAAATGGAGATTAAACCAATCCTACATATTATAGTGTAAATATTAAAAGATAACTTACCTTAGAGCAGATCTCATGCATGCTTGTGGCGATGTTTTTTGCCGGGGTGTCACATCGAAATACATGACACTTGAGCACATGTGTTAACTTGTCCCTGGCCACATATGCAAAGTCCCTGCAATAAAAGAAAACAGCCAAATAAAGAGATCGATGTCAGCCCAATGTATCTGCACACCAACAGCAACTTCCGATAAAGGACTTATTGAAGTATGTGATATGTATTCCCGGAGTGGGGAACAAAACACTGCCTTATAGCTGACACTGCTAGAACACCCTTTGGTGTAAAAAAAAGTCTTAAAAGTTTACTGCACTAGCAATGCTCCCAGAGGTGATGCTTCACTGACATTTCGATAATATATTGTTTATGACTCCATCATAGAAAGATTTTCTATAGAGAAAAACACAAAGAAATACTATATCGGTCACATACACCTATGACCACATATACCGGTTAAAAGTGTGGGGTCAGGAGGACTTTTAAATGTTTAAAAATAAGCTTATCCTGCTCATCAAGGCTGAATTTATTTAATCAAGAACACAGTAAAAAGTGTAAAAAAAAAAAAAAATCGTTATTGCACTATAAAATAAGTGTTCAAAAGTAGTTTATAATTTATTTTAATATATTTTTATTTATTTCAGTGATTTAAAGGTAAATTTTCAGCATCATTACTCTAGTCCTCAGAGTCACATGATCTTTCAGAAATCATAATATGAATTCATAATATGAATAATTATTATCATGATTGGTATTTTATTAATATTTTTATTATTAATAGTAATAGTTATAAACATAATGACAGGAATAATAATTTCATTTGAAGCTACATACAGTAATAAATAAATATTTAATAAATACATTTAACTTTATGATTAATAAATGCAGCTTTAATGAACAAAACAATTTTATTTAAATTATTAAACAAAATTGATAATAACGAAAAAATAGAAAATAAATAACCCCATAATTTTGACCTGTGGTGTACTTAAAGATGTTCTCTTTTACAAATCCACTTGAACATTATGAACCTGTATATTATAAGAGGTAACCAGAGAATCATTAGCCAGAACAAGCAAAAATTATGCCTTAATCATTTGTATGTTTGCTTTCTTCATGACATAATGTATAAAAACATGTAATAAATCACAATGCACTGGCAAGAAATCAGAATCCAACATGACTGCCGGGAGCTCAGACACATACGCTGCATCGCATGAAAGAGTGTGTGTGTGGTCACGTGACGTTTCAGCAGTGTAGTCTGGACGAAGAGTTGTTGAGAAACGCTGGGTGAAACGCTAGTGTGGACGCGGGTCTTTTTTTATTCTAAAACGGCACTTTAAAACTAAAACGTATTAGTGTAAACAAAGCCTTAGTCCACCTATTTGTGATGTTAAGTGGAATTTTGTGTCTTCTAAATTTGGTTTATTAAAAGAAAAATACATAAATTATTGTGTTACTGTACATTAAAAAAAACTACTTAAATCCATTCTCTGAAACAAAATGCTGCAAAAACAAGGAAGACGAATATTCCTATAGAGAAATATGTCTGAAATAGTACAAACTCTAAAATGTCAGTAAAGCAATCCCTCACTGGGTGGTCCTGATATTTTCAATCAATAAGATTATCATCACAGAAAGTTACAACATTTAAGTCAATGTTGAATGAGCTGAGACCAAATGCTCCAACTAAAAATAAAAAATTAAATAAAAATAATATTTTATTATGAAAGTAAATGTAAAGAATAATGTGAAAAATGTAAGAATAAGGCGGAATTTATATAGTTACTTTTTATGAAATACAAATTTAAAGACAATCTCAAATGCAGTTTGCATCAACAAATTAGCATTGTAAAAATACACAAGAGCAAACAAAAACAATATAATATACACAGCAACTCTACCTCTCCCTGGGATCCAGAATGCAGCAGAACAGACAGAACGAAAATATTAAAACATTGCAATGCAGTATTATCTGAATTACACAACAAAACAATCTTTCAACAGCCTATTGATGTTACCATAGAAAAGATTGAATTAAATACAGCAAAACATGCTTCAGTTTGTGTAGCATTGTGCATCTGTCAGTCTACGATCATATGAATATCGTCAGCTGTCATTACAATTAAAAATGAAGCAAAAATCAAGTTAAATTGTAGGCAAATTATTAATTATGCTCACAGACTCACCTGCCATCATCACGACCGACGCCCCAAACACGGATGCTAACGATTGGCTGTGAGTGAAGCAGTGTTTGTCCATGAGGTTCAAACAGATTCAGCATCTCATTTTCCAGCACCAGCAACATTTCCTTTCCCTACACAATGCAAACAATGTCATACAATCATATTATTTGTACAAGGTTTGTAGAACATATAGATGATACTCAAAATCCTGGATTATTAAGGGACTAAGCCGACAAGAAAATAAATGAATGAAGAGTTTCAAATGACAACGGTGGACCCACCAATCCTAATTGAACATTCCTTTGATACTTCCTTTCTTGAAATTCAAATGATTTCAAGTAGATGCACATACCTCACCCCAGATGCCAGCTGTGTCATCTAGATTGTGTTTCTGGTAGGACAACTGTCGGATGCAGTTATTAACAGCAACACTACTCCTGCCAGGAGCCATTTCCTCTTCTGTTATTTCCACCCAGCCCAGAGAACGCACTGCAAAACACTGTAAAACACAAACATGAAGAAAACAAGCATTTCGAGGTCGTGTATGTGGTCAGCCATCGATGCATTTACCTTTGAACCCTCAATACTGCTGAAACAAGTCTGTTCCTCTTCCTCCTCAGTCTGAGAAAAACTGAATAGAAAAAAAAGTAATAGAAAAAAAGAAAAAAAGAAGAAAAAAAGTCAGTGCACCTGTTGCTCAAAAACCAAAATTACAGGTTCAGTTAAAAAAGAATGAATAAGAATGCAACAGAAGCGTCCATAGGTACATAAATGTCAACAAATGCATAACGTCAATGCAATGTTAAACTTAATTTGGTAATACTGAATAATACTCAACTTTATGTATAATAATAATAATAATAATAATAATAATAATAATAATTAGGCACCTTTCTGGCAACTCAAGGACACCGTACAATAAACAAGAGCAATAAAACAACAAGAGAAATAATAAAAATTACACAGCAAATAGTGCAGACAAAATTATTTAGGCATTAAAAGCCATCTTAAATAATTGGGTTTTGAGTCTTGATTTGAAGCGTGTGAGGGAGTCAATGTTTCTGATGGCAGGTGGTAGTGAGTTCCAAAGCCGCAGAGCAGAGCGGTTAAATGCTCTGTTGACGTTAGACGAGCAGAGGGAACAGACAAGTGGAGGGAGGAACAAGATCGCAGGGTGCAAGAAGAAACAGAATTGTGGATGAGGGCAAACAAATATAGAGGGGCGAGATTGTGGATGGCTTTGAATGTTAACATCAAGATTTTTAAATCAATTCGAAATTGAACACGTAACCAATGAAGCTGCTGCAGGACAGGGGTGATGTGATGATACGGGTATATTGGAACCTTTGATTCATCTTGTACCTGAGATTGATTGAGGCATAGCGTAGAGTTGCTCCCTCAAACTCCTTCAGACTTTCATCAGAAGATACAACCTCCGTCTGAAAAACAGAAAGAAAATAAATTATACAGTGTTCCCACTTTAAAGCTAAATATCGATATTGCTTGACCTTCACTGACTAAAAAGCTGCTTGATGTTTTACAGTTACTGTCTGCTGTCTACAGTCTTATAACTACTTGCTGTTTTATGTGGCTGTTAAATTATCCTTTTCTATTTTGTTATGGCTGTACTTGATCAAAAGGGTGCTTCTCCTAAATACTGAGCATAGGGTCTAAATACTTAGGACCATGGGATATTTCAGTTTTTCTTTTTTTATTAAATCTGCAAAAATGTCAACATTTCTGTGTTTTCTGTTAATATAGAGTCCAGTGTGTACATTAATGAAGAAAAAAAAAAAGAACTTACATGATTTTAGCAAATGCAATGAAACAGAGTGAAATATTTACGGGGGTCTGAATGGTTTCCGTAAACACTGTACTTTTTAACACAGAGTAATTTTGAAGACAAATTTTTTAAAATGTATATATTATCCTGGCCTCTTATCCTTGGTTAACAGGTACAATATTGTGACTGTATTTAACTTGAGGGGCATACGAGTTGATAAGCATGAAAAGAATAAAATAGAGCTGAAAAATAACTTGTCCATAACAACAGGTGTGAAACAGTACCATGCAAAAAAAAAAAAAAAAAAAAATAGTGTAGAAAAAAATTATTTTGGTAAACAGTCCAAAATAAGTCCAAAAATATTACATGGTAAAAAACCTCTGACTTTTAATTTCTGGAATAGATATTTTAAAATTCCATGACCCGTAGGAACCCTGACAATATTATCGTAAACAAAACAAAAAAAATTGAATAAAATTATCTGAGACTTCATTATTAACCTACCTGCCAGAGTTCATCACCACTGAATGTGTTCTGGTGTGAAACATCATTCCATGCAATCTAAATACAAAATGCACCAATGTTAAAAACATGTATATTTGCACTCACTTGTGGGTTACTAGAATATGCTGATCAACTAAAGAATTATAATATAATATTATATTAATATAATGTTATATTAACCTTTAAAGATTATGGGCCCTATCATACACCCGACGCAATGTAACACAAGGCACGACGCAATTGTTGTTTGCTAGTTTCAGCTTGGCGCAAGAGTCATTTTGACCTTTTGCGCCATTCTGTTTAAATAGCAAATGCATTTGCAGTCATATGTGCGCCCATAGGCGTTCTGGTCTAAAAAAGGAGGCGTGTTGAGGTGCATTGCTAGCACGTTGCTATTTTGAGAAACTATAATAGATTTTTCAGTAGACCAGAACAAAGCCGGTCTATCGTCCAGCACAGAGCGCGTTAGTTGTGCGCCTCGCTTACACACTGCTTAATACACACAAGATGTAGAGCAATACGCAAATATCTTTAGATATGAAAAATTATAAAAAAAAAAAATAAAAAAAAAAATATATATATATATATATATATATATATATATATATATATATATATATATATAGGATATAATAAGGATATATATATAGAATATAAATATAAAGAATTAAAATATTACAAAAAATATTATTTTTTAGCCAACATAAATATAAAAACCATACTGTCATGCCTTCTTCATCTCGGGAGGGTTTTTTAGTTTATTTATGACTATTTGCTTTTGTATTATGTTATTATTATTAGCAGTATTATTTATTATATCCATATTTATATTTGTTTTATTAAAAACAAGCTTAGATTTGTCCACCTGTCAGGTTATAGATCATATGGGGCACAGCATGTGTATTTGGATATAACTCAGGTTTTTGACCACACTTCATTATTATTGTTCATTTATTCGTTTGCTGGAGATTAGAACTGAATTTAGAAATAGTTTTAAAACAAATCTTTGCGCTTAACAATTAAAAATAATTATTTATAGGCTAATTGATGTCTGTGAGTACAAGGTTTCACCATCCACAAGAGCGAAAGTTAAAGTAGATAATGAGAGGCCTTATCTCTCATTCTTGCTCTGCAGATGTTCTGTTTAACTGTTTTCTTGCTGGTGAAACGCTCAGTTTTCTCACTTACAAAGTCGTCATGTAAATAGCAAATGCGCTATGGAGCGACGCAACTGGCTCTTAAAGGGAATGGGAGATGAGACTCTGATTGGTTAATTCTCAAAACACACCTATAACTCATTAAGAAAATAAGCTCAACCCTTTTAAACAATGCGCCCTGCGCTTTGTACTTTGTGCATGGATCGTCAAAATAGAGCCCCATGACAGTAGAGGGGTGACGTTACTGCAGTTGGGCAAGTAAAGCTAAGGTGAGTAATACCGCTTCATCTTAAAAAAAAAGGGGTGGAGACAGGCAGAAACTAACCAGGTTAGGTTCACAGAGTACAATAACATTGTTAAAGTTACCTCTCTTTCAGAAACAGGCTTGACTTACCCAGCCTACTCGAGTTTAACAAACCTGCCGTTTTGAATCAGAAAACCCAGAGTTTCTCTCATTTCAGGGTACATACTGAGTTTTCACTTAATCTCCTTTCTGAAATGGGGCAATGGTCTTGCTGTTTTCAAACATCTCAAATAACGGTATGGCTGTTTTTGTCAAATGCAAATATCTGGTGCAGCATATATCTGGATTTTTGAGATAGATTTGTTCAAAGACAACATGTTAGTAATTAATCTTATTTTTACTCATATTTTGAAGTTTAGGATACTTTATTGAGCTTGTGTTCGTGAGGTTGGTCCGTTTTGGTGCAGAAGAGTCAATGATTGTTTGCATTAGTCTTTTTTTTTTTAGGTCAGGTGAGTTTAGTTTAGATCCACTGCATAAAAGTTTGTTTTCTAATCTCATTATATTAGCTAAACATTGCAATGGAATCTAAGAAAATAATGTATATAAAATTTACTATATAAAAACAACAAGTCTCTTTAAAATCGGATAAAAATCCCTGCAATTTTAAGGCCCACTGCAACATAGAAGTATGGTTTCCCTACCCACTGAATTGATTGACAGCTATATATTAACATGGCTCAGCCACATAGTGTATGAACAATCACAAGAGAAGATATTTCAATCCCAGTTTGAGGGCAGGTTTATTTAAATCAGATTTATTTTACACATTAGCATAACATATCCATACAACAGTGCGTGTATCCTGTCACATTTTCCGTCCAAAAAAAAAAGTGCAAGGTTAAACGTGTGTGTGTGTTTTACTGCGAAATTCGCTTTTTTTCTTTTCATAATTTGTGTGTGACTGATTTCAGAAAGCCTTAAATTTAATCCACGACAAAATACATCAAATGACCACAAGGTTATAACTGAAGTATTTCTCATAATTTTGCTTGCTTCCTTTTACACACGTTGGAACGGAGAGTGGGAAGAACCAGGGCCCTAATGTACAAAGACTTGCGTTGAATTCATACTAACACATTGCGTACGCACAAAGCTTTAAATGTGGTACGCAGTAAAAAAAATTCAAACGTATGAAACACTGTGTACGCGGAATCCCATGCATATTTCTCTTTGTACATCTGAATTAACGTAAAACTGAGCGCACGTGCACGAGCACAAAACCCCTCCCTGCCTCCTCCCCCTAATAAATATGCTAATGACTCTTACTTTGGCAAAACCAAACAAAAAAGCAATGGCGAAAGCAAGCAAGAAGAGAAACTTTACAGAATGTGAATTGGAGGTGCTCCTATCGAAGGTAGACCAGAGCAAAACTGTATTATTTGCAAGTTTGTCCTCCGGAATTAATAACAAAAGAAAAAAAATAGAGTGGGAGAGTTTATCTGACCCAGTTAACGCAGTGGGGTATGAACATCGCACTGTGAGTGAATCAAAAAAGAAATCGTCCTATGTAAAGGTGTAAAATTTTGTAGTGTCTATTTAAGCTATAGTAGCACACTTCGTTGGAAATAGCTAGTTGAGTGAGTCCCACCCATCACCGTTTGATTGACAGAGACAACATAACTGTCCCAGACAGCTGCCATTGCACGGCTCAAAGATACTTTGTAGTGTGCAATTTAACATATTTGCCTTTAGGAGTCGCCAATGGAAATAAAAACAAACACACACAAAAAATGCACTTACGCCAGACGTGAAGTTGACGTGGACCAACGTACATTTCCATGTTAATTTCATCGTTAGTAAATCCAAACCCGAGCGTAAAATCTGGCATACGCAAATTTTTTGTGCGTACGCAGGATTGATACATGAGGCCCCAGCTCATTTGCATTAAAGGCACAGGCTACAAAAAAAGCTAGAGAGTCCTAAGACCTCAAAAATCACATATTTAGAAAGGTATAATATTAGGTATAATTTACAAATATTCTAAAGATACCGGAGACTTATCTTAAATCTTTAAAAATAGGTCAAATAGGTATCCTTTAATAAAAAACTAAAAACTGCAAACAAGAAATTATTTTTGTGTGTGTACAGTACCTGAGGCTCATCAGCGGGTGTGACTGCAGGTGAAGCACTTGATGGTCTCTCCTCCAGTGTCTCCGGTGGTTCCCACTGTGTGGTACCTGTAGGAATGTGCCAATAGTAGGTGCCCGATGTGTCCTGCACTCGCATCCAACCAGCAGGAAGATCCGTGTCAGTTTCAAATGCACTACCATCCCAATAGGACTCTAAAAACAACAAAGCATGTTTTATTTGAAGAACTTTATTGTTTACAGTGGGAGTATGATGGATCGCAATTAATCCGTGATAAATATGTGAAACATTAATTCATTCAGCTTATAGCTGCACAATTAATAATTAATCATCAAAGATTGGGATCTCGATTAAAAAATTATAGTGATTTGCATATCTTAATTAATCCTTCAATGCAGTGAATTCAGATCTGCGCCTGACTGAAAGAGATTCAGTCTTAAGTCTTTTCAACCAGTATTATAATTTCTGAGTTACAAGCAATCAAATGGCACAGAAGTACTGGGATAACCGTTTATAGCTTAGATATAACTTCTAATGTTTATGGTAAAGATTAAAATAACCATGCTCCAAATAAAATATGCTCCAAATGAACGTTAATATTATTGTTAATATATAATATTATAATAATAATATTGTTAAGCTGATAGATAGCAACAACCAACCACTGAAAATTTTGTCAGAGTAATTCTTCAAAAATAATTCATTTAGAACATGCCTGAAGGACCACATATCTTGGACAGTTTAACCAATTAAAGTTTATTAAAATATTAATGACAAGAAAACATGAGTTCTGCAAATATATACATTTTTATTATGGCAAGAACAAAAGCAAAAAAGTACACTTACTAAAAAATTTATAAATAAAGATGTTTTTATAGATTTAGTCCGCTCAATTCGGACATTACTGTCTGGCTAGTTTCTTCAAATAATTCTTTCCAGGTATCAAAGAAATAATTTGTTCCTTAATTATAGTTTTGTAACTATTAAATAGTTTTAAATTTAAAACTCTAACTATATACATCAGTGTAAAACCTATGAATGGTGAAAAAAACATATTTCTGTAATTGTGTCATCACTTTTGCATGGCCTCTTTTGGTTTTAACAAACTTATCCCTTAGGTTTTTCCACACCTTTTAACAAAAAAATTCCTCCTTTACCACTGCTGTTGCAATTTCTAGCCAAGAATCCTTGATCATATGTTTATCTCGATGATCACGGTTCATAAGGATGTGCTGTCATCCTGTTTCAGACAAAATCTCTTCAAAGTGTTTCATATTCAACCCAAATCAAATGCGGCGCCACGCGCACTGTTCACTCAAGTCTCAAAAAAAAAAACATGCACACCGCCAAATGAAATCATGTCACGCACACCTAAAGCGAACCTCCGCAAAATCTGCGATGACATCACATTTGCCGTGCGCACTCAGGCGAACTAGCAGACGCTTCAAGTATAAACCAGGCTTTATACGGCTGTCTGAAATACTCTATTCTGATTAGAAGGTGCTGTAATGTAAACCAGAGAAAGCTCAAATGCCGTCCAAATGCTGCTATTTACACAGAGCTTGTTCTGTTTCTGTATTTGATCTTCCAAAAGACAAGACACAAAGAAAGAAGTGCTTACAATTTAATTTTAATTATGTTCCAGAGAATTATAAAAAAAGATTTAGCACTAGCATTTGAGAAAGGACAGATTCCAGAATCTCCCCCAGTTCAGTGCTGGCTAAAAACTCAAAGAAAAAGCAGCTCTAACCATAATAGAAGAAGCTGTGGATTGTGAGCCACAACCTGTAAGTATTCTTATTTGTTAAAATGTATCTATTACATGCATAGTTTCTAGCATTAACAGTATGTTGTAGCAAGGACGCAAACAAGGATGTAAACAACTGGAAATGCTGTTTGTCATCGTTAACAATTTACATTTCATATTAATTACACATGCTTATTACAAATATATATGAATTACATTATTTTATTATTAGATATTATTTTAGAGAGCATGCATGAGGTTCAACTGACAGTTACACTGACTGACAGTATTTAGACAGCAGAAGCAAAGCATGTGCTAGTGGAGGCGTGATGCTTTTCTTGGTAATGTGGAGCCAATTCGCGAATCACAGCACATTAAGTTAGCTGACCAATCAGAGGCTCTTGAGGGGTTTCAGAGAAACTAGGAAATATGATAGTAGTTTTTATGTTAGTGGGGTAGCAGTATATAATCAGAGTAAGATTTATGAAAAAATAACTTGATTTCTTTTCTTTTTTTATACAAATAAACCATGAGTATACATTGCTTTGCATCTTATAAACACAAATAAAGCCTTGAAAATTTAGCATTTGTCTTTCTGCAGTTAATGCACGTTTGAAAAATGCTTAGCTAGTAGACTGCTTGCATTTCAATTTTTACAAGAAAATAGGGCTGGGCGGTATATCGGGTTTTAAGGATATATTGATACGATTCCCCAAATTAACGCGGGATTATCCAATATTGTTCGTATCGATATGGTTTGAGGCCACACGTGCGTATTCTGCATGAAACAGACCACTCCAAGGTAGCCCGCGAGCTCCACTTGCACAAATGTGCGCATGAGTAAATTAATGATTCACTCCATGAGTCATACAAAAGATGTTCAAAATGAACGAATCGTTCAAAAACGACCCATCACTGACGCAACATGGAGGAACATGCAGCGCCGGTGTTGTATCGAAATCTGACTCCCTCAACAAATCTGACTGCCCCTTGCTTGCATGCACGTCACACAGCGCCTGCCTCTGTCACATCGGTTTATCAGAAACCTTTTATCAATCATTTCTTCCGCAATTAACAGCAAGAACGAACATAAAAGCCTTGTCAAATTGACAAGCAGCACCTGAATGTGTTCAAAAGAATTAAAAACGCCAAAATGGGATGAATTTATACCGCATTTCGAAAGTGAAACCACTTCATATTCATAGATTATAAGTTCAGTGTTTTTTACACGACGGTCTCTTCTTTACATTTACGTTATCACACATTTAGCTCTGCGTTCTGGTCTGTTAACATTTATATGCTTAACCAGCATTTCATCACAGTACTCTGAAACTTTTTCATTACTTCTCATATCAATAGTCTATTTATTTTCATCTCATTTAATATTTAGTATAACAAGTAAGTCAATACAAAAGAAAAAGTGTAGGATTTTTTTACATGGAGTGGAAGACTTCTCTTTAGATATCTTCGATATGTGCACTGTTTAATAATTATGCACAATACATACATGTAAATAATTTAATTGTTGTTTATTAATAACACAACTGTGATTACTTATAACAACACTGTATAACAATACTGTGACATACTGTGCATTTTATATTTACATTCAATGTAGTTCTTTTCTATTCTCGAATACTTTAAGTCGTGTTACTATTTAAGTGTGTTCCTTTTTGCTCTGACAATGTAGCTATGGTTTCTATGGTTCTGTTTACTTTGTTATTTGCACAACAGCAAAGTAGTGCTGTGTATAGTGTCAGGCAGGAAAAAAACCCTGTACTTTATTTATTTATCAAATATTTTTTTATAATTTGTAATGTTGTGCAACATATAGTATTAAGCAGGAAAAAGACTGTACTGTTTTATTTATTAAAGATTTTGTGCAGCTGTTTATTTGTAAACAGGGAGGGAAACCCTTGTGTTTAAGTAATATTTTGCTCAAAAAATGTTTAATAAAGTTTTAATAAAGGCTTTAACTCTCAAGTAACCATTTATGGGAAAATACCATATATATATATATATATATATACATATATATATATATATATATATATATACAGTTGAAGTCAGAATTATTAGCCCCCTGAATTATTAGCGCCCGTTTATTTTTTTCCCCAATTTCTGTTTAATGGAGGGAAGATTGTTTCAGCACATTTCTAAGCATAATAGTTTTAAAAACCTATTTCTAATAACTGATTTAGTTTATCTTTGCCATGATGACAGTAAATAATATTTTACTTGATATTTTTCAAGACACTTCTATACAGCTTGAAGTGACCTTTAAAGGCTTAACTAGGTTAGTAAGGTGAACTAGGCAGGTTAGGGTAATTAGGCAAGTTATTCTATAACGATGGTTTGTTCTGTAGACTATCGGAAAAAAAAAATAGCTTAAAGGGGCAAATAATTTTGTCCCAAAAATAGTTTTTAAAAAATTGAAAAACTGCTTTTATTCTAGCCAAAATGAAACAAATAAGACGTTTTCTAGAAGAAAAAATATTATCAGACATACTGTGAAAATTTCCTTGCCCTGTCAAACATCATTTGGGAAATATTCAAAAAAGAAAAAAAAATCAAAAGGGGGCTTATAATTCTGACTTGAACTGTATGTATAAGATAGTATACTGTCATTCCACTTAAAAATACTGGGTTATGACTCTTTGCCCATATCGCCCAGCCCTAAAAGAAAACAACTTGTTGCAACGGGTGTTGTTGGTGTCCACTTGGGAAATAGAACTATACTCTTGACTGTTTGGTCCTCTTCGCCATTATCACTCTATTAAGTGCAAGCTTATGAGTATGCGCGAGTGTTTGTGTGTTTTTGTGTTTGTTTGTGTAACTCTACAGGCTGACTTTTGCTTTCGCTTTCGGTCTGCAGTGCGATCCTCCACTGAGTGTACCCGCACAGCCAAGAACTGTGAAGGCTTTTACACTTGACGCGATTGATGTTGTATTGGGCAGAACAAGATGAACATTTCTTCTGTGAGATTGCTAACAGTGCAGACGTATATGAAATTAGCAATTGCAAATTAGCAAATTAGAAAAGGTTGCTTGATTTAAATCATGACGTAGGTGACGTTCATTTAGCAATAATTCTCCAATACCAACAGCAAAACTGTTAACTTCAAGGCTTATCGATTCTTCAGTCTTTTATAATTTAGCACCGTTTTGATACCCATCACTAAATATGCCCGCTCACTGTGAAAATGACATTGTGACTAGCTTGAAGTGGTATTTTCAAAAATGTCAAACCTAGCCAAGTGGTTGGTGAACAGGCACACTTTCATTGTTACTAGCATGCATAAGAACTGATTGTAGTTTATAATGTAAATCCAATGAGGTAAGGTTGTGTTTCAAACTACTTTGAGTGTGGTCATGGTTATACAATCACAAAATATTTCCTCTGTAAACATCGACATTGTTGTGTGACCTACCTGGTTCACCATCCGGGGTGCTGCTTGCAGTGCTTCCCTGTGACAGTGACATGCAGCTGGAGTCCTCGTCACTAGGAATGCCATTCTTGCTGAACAGCAGACAAGTATTTCTGCCACTACCTTCAGCACGTTTCTTTTGAATTTCAGATGAATCTCTGTTCTCGCCTCCACTAGGATCTACATTTTCCTCTTCCTCTCCTTCAACATCCACACCTCTTGATTCTTCCTGATTCTTCTCCATCATGACAGAAGAGTAAATCAGTACAGATTCATCAGCCCCCCAATCATTCAGGTCAGAGCAGAGCGCGTTAAGGGTCTTGTTCTTCTCTTCATGGTGCCTCTGCGAGTTCTGATTTGGATTCGTCTCTGTTGATTCATTCTTGTTCTCGACCAAGTTTAAATTCTGGTCTTGCTGCTGCTGTTGCTCTGCTAACTTGCATATCTGGTTCTTATCATCCTTCATCCACTTGGTTTTACTTTCAGAAAGACTGTGTTCATTTTCCTGATTTCTGCTCCATTCACCTTCTTGGTGTCGGAGGGATGCATCGTCATCATCATCTAGTCCTCCCATAATGTCTTTGAGGAGCTGGATGGAAGTTGTGCTGGAGTAATTATGACGACTCTTTTGAGACCCAGAAGTATCATTCAGAACTAACTTTTTTTCATGTGATAAACAGAGGTCAAGGGTCAGGGAGGATGAGATGTATGCATTTTCATTGAGCACATCTGATGGGCTCTTCACCGACATGTCACAGAGCTGTACACAATGAAAAATAAAATGTAATGTCAAAGACTTGAACAATTTAACACAAAATTAAACTAGCAAATGATCCAAACAAGGAAAAAACTTAGCATTAAAATTGCTAATGAGCTTACATTTAAACAACACAATTCACAAATAGGAATGCAAAAGGGTCTGTAAACCTAATGCAGTGTTTCTAAACCTTGTCTCCTTTATAGGTTACACCCATTACATGTCTTTCATTCATTCATTCATTTATTTTCTTGTCGGCTTAGTCCCTTTATTAATCCGGGGTCGCCACAGAGGAATGAACCGCCAACTTATCCAGCACATTTTTTATGCAGCAGATGCCCTTCCAGCCGCAACCCATCTCTAAGAAACATCCACACACACATTCACACACAGACTCATACACTATGGACAATTTAGCCTACCCAATTCACCTGTACCGCGTGTCTTTGGACTGTGGGGGAAACTGGAGCACCAGGAGGAAACCCACAGGAACGCAAGGAGAACATGCAAACTCCACACAGAAACACCAGCTGAGCCGAGGATCGAACCAGCGACCTTCTTGCTGTGAGGCGACAGCACTACTTACCGCGCCACTGCTTCGCCCCACGTCTTTCAGTCTCTGCTAATAGGCTAATGATCTGAATCAGGTGTGTTTTAATTAGGAGACATGGAAATTGTGGTTGAGAAACACTGGCCTAATACATACAGGGCATAGATATACACTAGATATCGCATACGGACCCTGAGCGTGTCAATAGCGCTGCAACATTTGTACAGTGCTCCAAGGACAAATGTCATCCAGCCACACTAGTCAAGATTAAAGCCAATGTGAAGATGCTGGACTTTAATACCGTGTATGGGCAAACGAAGTATAAAGGCATAACATTTCATAGGTAAGATTTAGTTTTTTTTGTTTTAGTATGTTACGAACTTTTGTGCTAAACAAGCATTATACAGTCAGGCCATAAGGCAAAGTAGCACCGGCTCAAACACCAGGCTTATGCTAGTTTTGTTGAATAAAATAAGCAAAATAAAAAATATAAAAACAAGATGCTGTGGTGCTAGAAACGTGTATAGTTGTCAGCTAAGTGAGTGAGTCGTTCATAACAAAGATTCATTCACAAACTAACTACTCCCGCTGTTGGAGGCAGGAGAGGGGGGTGTGTTTCAGGACACGGATTAGATCATATTTAACAGGAAGGGAGGGTAATACACACATGCTCTTTGTCAGAAATGCCTGTGCGATCATCGATGTAAAAAAGTGATGTAAAATTATAATTTTCGTAATTTAAAAAATATTTGCATACTGACCAGCGGGAAAACTCCTAATTATATATATATATATATAGGAGTAAGGACCGGTTGAGAGTGTAATGGAATTTAATAGCGTACGCCAATTGGAAAGAAAAAAAACTTCCGCATTTCGCGATGTTTGTGTGTGTGTGTGGTGTGTGTGTGTGTGTGTGTGGTCCTTTACTGACAGCCGCGTATGGATCTTGTTGGAAATGATGGCGAAAGGTCCTAAAGACCATGGTGTTTACTTCAATAATGCCACTAATGTCTTAATTTAATTTCTGTTTAGTTTAGTTATGACTTTAGTTGGATTAAGGTCATCAAAGACCGCTGTTTGAGCTTATGTAGGCCTACAGTTCAAAATTAATATTTAACTGAATAAACAGTGAGTAAACATAAGTACATCTTATTATAAAACGGGGAGACGCAGTGGCACAGTAGGTAGTGCTGTCGCCTCACAGCAATAAGGTCACTGGGTTGCTGGTTCGAGCCTCGGCTGGGTGAGTTGGCATTTCTGTGTGGAGTTGTGGAGTTTCTCCAGGTGCTCCGGTTTCCCCCAAAGTCTAAAGACATGTGGTACAGGTGAATTGGGTAAGCTAAACTGTCCAAAGTGTATGAGTGTGTGTGTGTGTGGATGTTTCCCATAGATGGGTTGCGGCTGGAAGGGTAAAAACGAGCTGGATAAGTTAGCGGTTCAGATGCTGTGGCAACTGCTTTTTTATAAATGGACTGAGCCGAAAAGAAAAGGAATGAATTAATCTTATTGAACATCATTTATTTTCATCACTAATTCTAATAGTAAAACAGTTTCTCAAGCAGTTTGTGATGCATTTTGGAAACTGGAGATGAGCGCCTAGTCTAATGTGCCACCTGGCTTGAGAAACCCGTTCTCAAAAACGTATTATTTTGGTAGCACACACATTCTGAATGCCTTCGACAAAATTCAAATGAGCCACTTTAATCTAGATTTAAAAAAATAATCTATACCTATATAATAAAAATAGTTTGTTTGAAAACAACATTTTTTGTCATCATTACTGCAAACTTATATGAGAGATTATATCCTTAAATGTGAAGGGGGCCTTACAATATTTTCTGGGGAAAAAGGGGGTCTCAGGCAAAAAAAGGTTGGGGACCACAACCACTGCTTTACTGCACCTTAGTCCCACATTCACTTCAAATGAGCGCTGCCCTGTACTAAAACGGCAGCTCTATTAACGCATTTCTTCCAACAGACAACAATAGCATAGGTGACGTCTACTGTAAATATCTATGGATACAGGGGTTGGACAATGAAACTGAAACGCCTTGTTTTAGACCACAATAATTCATTTGTATGATGTAGCGGTTCCTTTTGTGGCCAACACAGTATTAATTCATCTTAGGAATGATAGATACAAGTCTTGCACAGAAGCCAGAGATTTTGGACTTTGCAATTTCTAACAATCCAAACAAATTACCAAAACACCTGCATTTTCTCATCACATGCAACGATGGAACGCAGTGGAAACATTTCAAGACATCCCAAAAATGTGACAGACCTGGCTATTTAGGTTATGGTTATTTAGCCTTATAATATACAAAAGACAAGGAAATTGTGTAATAGGCATAATAAAATTAACAACAGAAAAAAACTCACCTTCCAAAAATCACCTACATTTAGGGCTGGACGATAAAACGGTATCCAGTATTTGACCAAACACCATTGTCAATAACAATAAAAAAAGATTGGTATGAAGTTTTGGTATGAAGCACTATAGTTTATAAAATGTGGCTACTGAACACACACCTTGGAAGGAAGACCAATACAATTTAGGGTTATTTCAAATTGAGGCGTGTGGCTTGTGCATGCAAATAGAGAGTGATGCGCACATGGTCTGCAAGTGGCACGCATGTGATGTGCTTGCATACACCTAGTTGAAAAACATCTCAACTTTAAAAAAATAAAATAAAATAAAACAATGAGTGCACTGTGATTTATGTAACTAGAACTAACTTTGTATGTAAAATATCCATTTTGCTAACAGTGTTTCCCCTAGGTTTACCGGCTTGGGAGGAAGGGTGGGTTAGGGGTGTAGCATGGCTGTTCTGACTGACACCGACAAAAGGACTTATGGAGTTAATTTGTTTCTTTTTATGACAGCAGTAAATAACTGAACAATCATTTAAACTGTACAACCGTACAAGCTAAAAATGTGTATTTATGCACACAAAGTGTACAGCTTTTGTCACTGCAGTTTATCTTTCTGGGCTTCTGGAAGAACATTCTGGTACACTACTAGTACATTGATTCTGGTATACACATATGAAATAAAGTATACTTTTTTCCTAAAGGTGTATTCACTGACTTACTTACTAAGATCAGTCTTGTACAGCCAGAGGGAGTATTGCCACTTTGACAGCCAAATTAGGTCGAAGCTATGGATGCTCCAAGATTTTTGAAGCCGATACAGAGTACTGATGCATTGTCATGGTGATTGGCTGATACTGATTCTAATGCTTCACGCTTTATAATGCATTAAGCACATTTTCCCTCTAAGTATGAACCTTAAGAAAAGATCTGGCCTTACCTAAGAGAATAAATGAAGGATGCTGCATATAATCCTTTAAACACGTCTCTCATAACCATTTAGGTGTGAACATGTCATAGCCAGAAGCAGCCTTAGAGAAAATACTTCATCCGCTATACATCCATTACTTCTTTACTAATAGGAAATAGGCCTATAAACTGTTTATTGCAATAAGTAGATTACAACAAGTTATCTTATTAAATATCACGTTAAATAGAGCTGTGAACCTACACTAGTCCACGGTTCGGTTACGATTATCATGCCATCGATTCGGTTCAATTCGATATTTCGGTGCATCACGGTGCATTGACGGTGCTTTCCATACAAAGTTTTATATTTTCTTCACAGCAGCAGTTCTTGTATTAAAATGTATGAATATATTTATATTTATATACTATTTGTAATACAATTTTGTCATTTAATACAAACAGTCAGATATATAAACTGTAACTTTAAACAAAACGAGCATTTAGCAAATAATATAAACAAATATAAATATCCAGCTCAATTTCTGATCCTTGTCTAGTTCTCTTACACCCCTTTGATTGGTCACACCCTCAACAAAAACGGTTGCGATTGGCTCTTGCGAGCTGCGCTCTTCACAGATGAGTGATACTGATAAGCGGCAGGCGGCTGCGGCGATCTCACAGCTGATGTATGATAGACACGGTGGAGAAAACTCTGCAGACACGCGCTCGTTTCTGTATGCAAAAGTAACGCTGTAAAACAGCCGACAAGAGAAGCCACGCCAGCAGGTCAAATGGGCCACTGTGTGTGTGTAAGAAAGAGAGAGAGAGACAGAGCGAGAGCGAGAGCAAGAGCAAGAGAGAGAGAGAGAGAGAGAGAGAGAGAGAGAGAGAGAGAGAGAGAGATAGAGAGAGAAATGGAGTAGGCTACTTTCATTCTCTCGATCTCAGTGAAATAGGGGCTATTGTTGTATATGTCAGTGAAAGACTGATCCAGCAAACACACACAGTGAAATTGTGCACAGTTTATGAGTTTTAAGTAGTTAAAGCGCTGTAAATACTCGCGATCGCCTCCCTCGCGACAGAACGCATATGAGGTAAATGACGTCAGTAATAACCGGTTATGATTATTACTGAACCAATACCTAATTGTCCGCGTCTGCATCGCAGTGCACCGAAGAAACGATTAATTTTGACACCCCTAATGTTAAAAATAAATTAAGTTCTATCATATATCTTATAATTTCAGCCAGCTTTTAGTGAACTTGCAATATCATCAAAAACACAGAGCTTTCAGTTGTTCCATGTAAAAAGGCCTAAATGCATGCAGGACCATTTAAATATTTTGCACATCTCCAACTATTGACAGTAGATCCCTCAATGAGAGAGGGGGATTTGTACTCGCAATAGCTTTACTGCTCTATTCATTTAACCTAAGAAATGTAAGAACATGCTTAGAAATGAGAATGCTTAGAACATGCTAAATGCTTAGAACATCACTGTGTCTATGTGATTTCCTGGTATTTTAACTCATTTTTGGGGATCACAGAGCAGGTATAAATTTGAGGGAGACTCCCGGACCTTCTGGGAGAGGTCATAAGGTTGGATGAGACACTAGTTAAGGGTGATCGATTGCTCGCATCACAGCAGCTCAAAACACTGGAAATACAATCGTTGCACTTGTAACAAAGAGAGCATCACTCGCGCGAGTCGCACCAATAAACAGAGGTTGCACCACATTTTAGCTGCTGTGATGTGAGTGCATCGATCGATTTAAAAAGATTTGATTCAGCAGGTTTTTACCGATCACACATGTGCTCTCTCTCTCTCGTGAACGCGTGGCGGTCGGCGGAGCTGCGTACAAAAGGCTGCGCAGTTGTTCAAATCTGCATTTGCTGACAAGCAGATTGGGCTACTTATCGGAATTGAGTCGGCCCGACTCTATTTAATTGGATGAACTTTTTTGTTTTATGCCTTACCCAAAATATAAAAATACATATGAATACATTTAGATCAATTACTGTAATCATTACTATTAGACTGTGAAGAGACTATAAACCAGCACAACAAAAAATGTTTCTGAAGACAACCACCAACTACACTTTTAATTTTATTTATTACATTTCTATTTATTTTCTTTTACTATTAACACTATTTGCCATAGTAGTGTTGGTAAATTAAAATAAAGTGGTTAAATAAAAAAAAAACCATAATATTCCTAAATGGATTGTAAAAACAATATTCAATAATTATCGATACTGTATGATATGAAAAATTATAGTATATATTTTTGCTGTATTGCCTTGAAATGAATGGCACAATAAACAAATCCAAGCTGGACCCGTCATCTTTTTGAGTCCCTTTGAAACATTTTTGTTGTGTTCCGTGTTATTTGCATGTGTTGTGAGAAAATGCAGCATGTTGACTTAATGTGTTTGCATTGTGAGGATTTGCAACATGTATGCTGTCAAACCGATGAAGATCTTTTCAGACATATTTTGTAATTGTATGCGTTTTTTTTAATTGTAGCATGGTAAGCTCTCTCATTTTGCAGTGGAGACACAAGCTTGATACTGGTGACTCGTACTGTACTGAACCGTACCACTCAGTGGAAACAAGGCAATAGTAAAACATATTAACCATGATTTGCTAAACTAATCTGTACCTTAATCATAGTACCTGAAGAAAAACTGGTTATACAAATGGTAGTCAATGCACCAAAAACATGATATTAAAATAAACTTAACGTTACCACACACACAAAAACGTGTGTATGTATATATATATATATATATATATATATATATATATATATATATATATATATATATATATATATATATATAAAGGTGTTACTGTGAACCACAAAAGCTCAACAAGTATGAAATTTACACTTTAAAAGGCACTGCGTGTAACGTTTCAAGCACACAAACTCTTCATCAGACAAACTGCATCACAATGCATCACTCATAACGTTATCCTCCTAGAATAAGTGATCTTATGGTGACAGAACATTTAACGACTGTTTGTACTGTTTTTGATCAGATTGTAATTTAATAAACAAAATAGGCCTGATGCAAGACTCGTAAAAAAAAAAAAGCACTGTCGTTTTATTAAATAAAATTATATTATTAGAATACTATTAATGATTACTTAAAATAAGGATTACATCAGTCAATCAGGTTTTTATGAATAACAGCTTAGATTTGATCAATCTCCGTTGACGTTTACCCTTCGTTCGCTTAATCATTCATATTCATCATCACACAATATGTGACAAAAACGTTACACTTAGCGCTCTTAGTGCACAATAAAGCATACACCTACCGTTAATAAATTCCCCTCATAAATATCGATCAGCGTCAAAACGCCTAAAAAATCATCAAACACTGACTACATCACCGTTAAACGGCTAACATTGCTAAAGCTAGCCCACACATAACGTCATAGTGACGTACTTCTTCTTCTTCTTGTGGGGTTAATGGCGCATGGCAGACCAACTTACATAGTGCATTCCCGCCTCTTACTGGATAGGAGTGTGGAGCGCATAATGTAGAAAAAGCGTGAGATTAAAAGATAAATGATAAGAATGGAGGGAATGAAATTACGAGAAGAAAGAACAGGGGAGGGTTTTTTTTTATACCTGAATAAATTTACAATTCCTTTATTTTGCTAAATCATTCTATTAATCAATTTTTTAAGTAAGTAATTATTTGAAGTATTATTTTAATTTGATTTGAACCATTTCCTAATAAGGTCTGAAGTATATCATATATCCCATGTTACAAAAACTGCCTTCTTTTATCTGAGAAATATTGCTAAGTTATGAAGTATGCTATCCATAACAGATGCAGAAAAGCTAGTCCATGCTTTTATGATTTCTATTCTTACCAGGTCTAGAAAATATGACCATATCACCCCAATTTTATCATCCTTCCACTGGCTGCCTGTTAAGTTTCGTATTGATTTTAAAATATTACTTCTTATCTATAAAGCTTTAAATAATCTAGCTCCTGTTTATCTAACCAACCTGTCTCGCTATAATCCAACTCGCTCTTTAAGATCTCAAAACTCAGGCTTCTGGTAGCACCCAGAATAGCTAAGTTGAGCAACGGAGGTTGAGCCTCCTCACTATGGCTCTGGAATAGCCTTCTTGATAATGTCTGAGGCTCAGACACACTCTCGCAGTTCAAAACTAGATTAAAGACCTATCTTTTTAGCAAAGCATACACTCAATGCATCACATAGCTGTATGATGCATGAATGTGCTCCACGCATCTCGTTTAAATACACTATAAACACCAGCTACGCTAATTATTTTCTTTATTCTGATCCCAAGGTTTCCATAATCCTGGACCAGGCCGTATCCTGAGCAGGTGCTGTGGTGGTCATGGAGGAGTGGAGAGCATAAGATTGATTCCTGTATAACTCCAGGGACAGAAGAGTCTTCGCTGAGGTCCAGCATTCTCCAGCCTCTGGCACCTAGACAGCAGCTCTGCACAAGAAGTTTGGCCAGAGGATAAATAGTCGTGCCCAATTGAGCCTGGTTTCTCTCGAGGTTTTTTCATTCTTCACTTTCCCCAATAGGTAAAGTTCTTCATCGCAGCTGTCGTCACTGGCTTGCATGGTTCGGGTAGAACAGCGCATCGATGGATTTGCTCTTCAGTGTTTGGACTCTCAGTAGTGATTATTAAACCACACTGAACTGAGCTAAACTGAACTGAACTTAAACACTAAATACTGAACTACACTGTTCCAATTTACTATGATCTTCTATGTAAAGCTGCTTTGACACAATCTACCAGGGGCGAACTGGCAATCTGGCATTTCTGACAAATGCCAGAAGGACCAGACCATTTTTTAATTGTGGGCCGGTCATTTTTAAAAAAAAATTTTTATGTATTGTTTTTACATGCAGGCACTTTTATCTCTTGTTAGATGTAATATGATGATGATGATGATGATGATGATGATGATGATGATGAGGATAATGATAATAGTAATGATAATAATAAATGTTAAACATTTGGCCCAATCTGTGATGGCTGCCTGGTTTCGAGATGGGCCAACCCAATCCGAGGTTACCTGGACATAATCAAAATCTGGCAAGAATGTCAAACAAACAATAAGTGCAACACAAGCTCAAAGATGGACCGTAAAAAAAGGAAAGGCAGTGCCGATAACTCAGAGAAAGCAAAAAAAGGGGTCTAAAATCGAGAGAGGTCTGGATGCAGACCTGGTGCAGTGCAATCTGAGCTGCATAAAAAGTTTTTTAATGGGCTCACCTAACCCCAGCCCTAACCCTACCCATCACAGTGAAATCACTAGCTCCATTTGAATGCATTGTGTCTGACGTTGCATCGCTGAGTGATGCAATCTCAGCTTGAATCATAAAGGCTGCATCCAGATACTAATATAAAAATCAGACGCTGCCAAATTAAAAAAATTACCTGAAATATTCTTGAAAGGCTTGAATTCAGCTGCTGCATTGGAGGGCAGTATACAGTAGAGGAGGTAAAAAAAAAAAAAACAGAAAATATACTTCTAAGTCATTATACTAAAATATACTAAGTAATTTTAACGCCATACATGTTACTTCTGACAGTTTTTGATAGTAACCTAGTGTTTAACCTATAGCCATACTGTATTTGTAGTGAACTCTGAATGCATAGCTAGTCTTTAAAGTAAAACATTTAATACATGCAGGTTACAGTATGTAATTCATCCTCTCATTGTCAGAAACAATGAGCTGCAATCAATCCAGAAATCCTTTGATTCTTTATTTTTTTCCTACAAAGTTTCCAACAAGCACTAAGCATGCAAGTGATTACAATCACTTTGCTGTATCCATGTGGGTTGGAGTGTGTGTGTGGTCTACAACAAATTAGAATAAACAAATTAAGGGATCAGAAAAACGTAAAACACTTCCATGGACAGGGACGACGCAGAGGCGCAGTAGGTTGTGCTGTCGCATCACAGCAAGAAGGTCACTGGTTCGAGCATCGGCTGGATCAGTTGGCGTTTCTGTGTGAGGTTTGCATGTTCTCCCTACGTTCGTGTGTATATATATTTACAGATGAAGTCAGAATTATTAGCCCCCCTGAATTATTACACCTCTTTGTTTTTCCCTCAATTTTGTTTAACAGAGAGCAGATTTTTTAGCACATTTCTAATCAAAATAGTTTTAATAGTAATTGCTAATTTATTGATTATTTATTGATGATTTATTTTATCTTTGTCATGATGACAGTAAATAATATTTGACTTGATATTTTTCAAGACACTTCTATACAGCTTAAAGTGACATTTAAAGGCTTAACAAGGTTAATTAGATTAACTAGGCAGGAAAGGGTAATTAGGCAAATTATTGTATAAAGATTGTTTTTACTGTAGACTATCGGGAAAAAATGCTTAAAGGGGCTAATAATTTTGACCTTAAAATGGTTTTAAAAATTAAAAACTGCTTTTATTCTAGCCAAAATGTAACAAATCAAACTTTCTCCAGAAGAAAAATAATATCAGACATACTGTGAAAATTTCCTTGCTCTGTTAAACATCATTTTGGGAAATATTTAAAAAAGAGAAAAAAAATTCAAAGGGGAGCAGATTACTCTGATAATAACTCTGTGTATATCTCATCCAGTTATCTGGTGTGTATATATATATATATATATATATCATCCAATAATCCTAACTTCCCACAACCTTCTAATTTTAGGACCATTTCTCCATTTCTGTCACTTTTGTCAATAATATAATTTATGTACTTCCAAAATACCTATCTTCATTTTGAAACCGGTTAATTAGCCTAAATGCACAGTTACAACATAATTTTAACATTAGGCTGAGGTATTTTCATGCTAGTTGAAGACATTTGTTCACAAAAAATCAAAATCAAATATAGTATGCATAAGTTGTGTTACCTGATTATTGTTTGTTCAGTTGTTCATTCAAAAAGACTTCACAATGTTTTACCGTACCGAAATGAAAATAACTAAAATTAACTGAAATAAAATAGATTTGTACTGTATGGTCAACACTTGGGGGCGCAGTAGTCTTACTAAATAAACGTGACAGAAACAAAATGAAAACTGCTGTGGCCACCGAGCCATTATTTCGCAAACACAAACACGTGGGCAGTGTTCGTAAGTGTATTAAGAATGTTTTAATGGTACGCTGTTTAACTTTTGTCCGTCTATCAGCAATATAAAATGTTGTGTCTTGTTTTGATTGTGCTTTGGTCTTGCATCTCTGTAGATGACTGTGGGTCAGTGTTGACTTTGAACTCTGATGCAAAAGATGCCATCTGTGCAGGTAAGTCTTATTCTGCTGTATTATGGCAAATCATTTAGCATTTAATCTATTAACCATACGAGTATCTTTTTTCATACTATTACTTTTAAGATACTAGTATCTTTTCCATAAAGTTTTTTGTACCCTCAGGTAGTGCTTTAGTTAATTAAATATATTTACTCATTGATGAAATATACTTCTGTTAAGGAGGCCATTCATAAAACAAGTTTAAAAGCAGATGACTAAAAATATATGAAGTATTAATTACAGAATTAAGTTAAAAAAATACTAGTGTCTATTAAAAACTACCAACTAATGAATAAATACTAGTATCTATTAAAAACGTATTAGTATCTACTGATTAATTACCAACATCTAATAAATAACAACTAGTACAGTGCATCCATAAAGTATTCATAGCGCTTCACTTTTTCCACATTTTTTACAGCCTTGTTCCAAAATGGATTAAATTAATTTCCCCCAAATTCTACACACAATACCCCATAATGACAATGTGAATAATGATTTTTTGAAATTGCTGCAAATTTATTACAAATACAAAAACCTAAAAAATCACATGTACATAAGTATTCACAGCCTTTGCCTTGAAGCTCTAAATTAAGCTCAGGTACATTCTGTTTCCACTGATCATTCTTGAGATGTTTTAGCAGCTTAATTGGAGTTGACCTGTGGTAAATTCAGTTGATTGGACATGATTTGAAAAGGCATACACCTGTCTATATAAGGTCCCAGGGTTGACAGTCCATGTCAAAGCACAAACCAAGCATGAAGACAAAGGAACTGTCTGTAGACCTCTGAGAAATGATTGTTTCAAGGCACAAGACTGGTGAAGGTTACAGAAAAAATTCTGCTGCTCTGAAAGTTCCAATGGCCTCCATCATCTGTAAGTGGAAGATGTTTGGAACCATCAGCACTCTTCTTAGAGCTGGCCGGCCATCTAAGCTGAGTGATCAGGGGAGAGGGGCCTTAGTCAGGGAGGTGATCAATAACCCGATGGTCACTCTGGCTGAGCTCAAGCGTTCTTCTGTGGAGAGAGGAGAAACCTTACAGAAGGACAACCATCTGTGCAGCAACCCACCAATCAGGCCTGTATGGTAGAGTGGCCAGACGGAAGCCACTCCTTAGTAAGCTTAGCAGCAGGAACTGGAAGACTAGTCAGGATAGAGCGAAAGATCAATGCAGTAATGTACAGAGACATCCTGAATGAAAACCTGCTTCAGAGTACTCTTGACCTCACTTAGGCGACGGTTCATATTCCAGCAGGACAATGACCAAAAGCACGCCACCAAAATATCAATGGAGTGGCTTCACAACAACTTGGTGAATGTTTTTGAGTGGCCCAGCCAGAGCTCAGACATAAATCCTATTGAACATCTCTGGACAGATCTGAAAATGGCTGTACACTGTTGCTTCCCATGCAACCTGATAGAGCTTGAGAGGTGCTGCAAAGAGGAATGGGCAAAAATTCCCAAAGACAGGTGTGCCAAGCTTGTGGCATCATATTCAAAAAGCTTTGGGGCTGGAATTGCTGCCAAAGGTGCATCAACAAAGTATTGAGCAAAGACTGTGAATACTAATGTACATGTGATTTTTCAGTTTTCTTTTCTTTTTATTTTTTTTTATAAATTTGCAACAATTAAAAAATAATATTTTTTCACATTCTCATTATGGGGTATTGTGTGTAGAATTTTGAGGAAACAAATGAACTGTAACATAAAAAATTTAAACATTTGCTATGAATTCTTTCAGGATGCACTGAATTCTGAATTATATACACATATAATGAATACTTGCAACTTTTAAAAGTATAGTCAATAAAAATGTACACAATGTCAAAACGGGAATGGAATCTCAATGGCAGATGCCCTTAGAATGAATGATAAATAATAAAAAGCAAACAGCTGAACATACAATTATTAGCCCTGTGATGTTTTTTAAATTATTTTTCAAATATTTTCCAAATGGAGAGAATTGAGTTTTTTTCCCAACATATTTTAAACATTATAGTTTTAATAATCATATGTTTCATATAATATATTTCTTATATATTTTTTTTTGTCATGATAACAGTAATAATATTTAATTATATTGCAAAATACTAGTATTCATATAAAAGGTCAATTTAAAGGCTGGTATTTAGTTTAACTGGGCAACTGGACAACATGGGTTTGTTTTGTAGCCAATCAAGAAAAAATATTGTAAGGAGGCTAATAATATTAACTAAAGCCATTTTGTATTAATTATATATTTTTTATTTAAGGTAAGCTAAAACAAATAAGAAAAAATATTTAAAATATCACAGGAGGGCAAATAATTTAGTCTTCAACTGTATTTAGGTAATTTTCAATAAAACCTATCTAAATAGGTTAACTAAAATATAAACAATTATTATAGGTTTACCACAGTGTTTCAGGGCTTAAAAAAACTGAAGATAAATTTACAGTGTCATTAATTTAGTTAATTAGAGCAAAAAAGATGTTTGCATATTTCACTGCTTAACTTTTTTCTTTACTCAAGCGAATGAAGTAAATCCAAAGCATACAAATAAGAGACAGAGTCCTAACAAATAAATTCTTTATTGTCAAATATTTCTGAAGTCATTACAGTGTAATCAAGTCCAGTCACCTGAATTCTGATCCTCTCTGTGAAAAAAAAAATCTTTTTATTAAGGGACTTTGCTTTAATCTGTGTCTGGGAAACCAGCCCTCCTGGTTCATTTAAGGCCGAGGCATTTCAGGACATTCATTTTGAGACAAACACACATCAAGCACAGACTTGTTTCTTAATGTTCGTTGGTTTTCCAGAAGCATTTTCCTTTGGCCTTTGAACGCTCCAGAATGTGTGCTTCTTTGTGGAGGGGCCACACTCCTGTTCCTGCTGAACTGAGCCAGTGATTTACTACAACTGATATCAGCTCAGAAGGCACCGGAGCTCAGGTCCTGATGAGACACACAACTCCAAACAGATTATCAGCTGACATCAGATGACCAGGTGTGTGGAAAGAAAGGGGTAAGTTAGAAACCTTAACTCTTACCTTGGTCATGGGCTTTTCAGTTTAAAGGGGACCTATTATGTAGATTTTACATGATGTAAAAGAATTAACTGATGTCCCTAGAGTGTGTATGTGAAGATTTATTTCAAAATAACCTGCAAATAAATTTGAAACTGCCCCTTTAAGTCTTTGATCTAAATTGTGCCATTTTTGGAGACTGTCGCTTTTAATTCAAATGAGATTTTGCTCCCAGCCCCCTTTTCAAAAGTATATATAATCATAAGAATGTGCTTCTTTCGAAATTAGTTTATAAATAAACTTCACTTAGCCACAATTGCTCTCCATACCTTTTTAATATGTAATCCGTTTGACATTATTCGTAAACATAAGCACTCAGCACATGCTCACTAGAAAAGGGTTTCATATTTATATAAAAAAAAGTCTCGTGTTGAGACTTCAAATTGCCCATTAACACAGAGTGATGAAATCCATGATGAAACAGCCTGGTTTGGTTCAGTCTTGACACCTTGTGGACAAACTAAGCAGTGCAAAGACAGAACAAATGCCAGCTCTTACTTTATGGAGACAGATTAGACTCAATAATAATTCAAGCAAAAGACACGATTGACACGAAATTCACGTGCATAAAACCAAATTCACGTGCGTATAATATTTATTTATATTCACAAAAACAAATTCACGTGCACAAAATAAAAATACATTTTCATAAAATACGTTTCACAAATGCAAAACACCATTTGCAAATGTATAAGAGTGTACAAAAAGTTTTGAATGTTTAAAACTTGCAAGTTCATTTTGAATGAGAATGTGCAAATCCTCTTTCACGTACGATCCCCCCTGGATGTGTGTGTGTGTGTATTTTTGAGACTCTCCTGCCAGAAGCAGGGCAACTCGTACCTTTCAGCCAATCAGATGAGAGCTGTAGTCGATGACAACAACTCTGCGTTCCATTTGCGCAGACTGTTTCTCTCCAGCATGGCGAACAGAGAAAGCATCAGTCGCACTTTTTTTCATTTATTTATTTATTTGACCATAGCCTCACTCTTTTAATTAATTATTTTGCCGAAGCTCCGCTCTTCTTATTTATTGTCTCGCAGCCCCATGAGCAAACTGTAGCCTGCAAGGTCATGATGAGGATTGAGTATCATGCCGGTCACACAACATTAGCAGCGCTGTTGTGGTCCAGTGGTCCGCACGTTGCGTTACCAAGCCCTAGGATCCTTGTTCGATCTTCACCTGGATTAATTAATTTATTTTTTTCATTTTTATGGTTAAGACATATAAAACTGTAAGGTTGTTGAACATTTGATGATCTAAAGCAGCTGTTTTCTTTCAAAAGACGTGATAGTGTCATTAGAAACTGAATTGAAACTGAAAAAAAAGATATTTACTCAGGTGAGGATCTTTTTTTCAGTTTCATTCAGTTTCTAATGACACTATCACGTCTTTTGAAAGAAAACAGCTGCTCTCATCTGATTGGCTGAAAGGTACGAGTTGCCCTGACTCTGCCAGGACAGTCTCAAAGATACACGCACACACATCCAGGGGGAGTCGTACGTGAAAGAGGATTTGCACATTCTCATTCAGGATGAACTCGCAAGTTTTAAACATTCAAAACTTTTTGTACACTCTTATACATTTGCAAATTTTGTTTCGCATTTCTGAAACTTATTTTATCAAAATGTATTTTTACTTTGTGCATTTGAAATTTTTTTGGGAATATGAATAAACATTTTATGCATGTGAATTTGATTTTATGCATGTGAATTTGGCTACGCATGTGTACATGGTGTCTTTTGCGTGAATTTCTTTTTAGACTTGTCTGATTCCATTCTACTTTGCCCAATGACAGACTGCAGTCATTTGGGAAACCTCTGGAAACAATATATTTGCTATGAGATGCACAGAAATTACACACTTCACCTTTAAGTATGATCATCTGCTGTGAATGAGGCACTTTCTCACACAGCTTTCTCGTGGGAGCAGTGTTGTGTTTCAGCACTGGCACATCTCTCTGCTTTTTAAACCATGATTTATCATAAGCCATGTGTGTTTAATTACGACACAGAGCATCCATCATCTCCAATTTAGAAATGTTTGTTATTCATTAAGCAGGGTTGTCTGATACCGTCCTTGTTAACATTTTTGAAATATAGGCTGATTATGTCAGCAGTTTACCCAATCTAACAGTGTTTGAAAAGCAGAAATGCTGCATTCTTATTCATACTCTGAAAACTTATGTTGATCAGAAACCTGTGTAATAGGGGAGAGCAGGGATGTAAGTAATGTGGGACGAAAGTAACAAAGCGATTTTCTCAAAGCCTTGACAACCTTTGTTTTCCAGGCTATAACAGCACATTTAGGCCCAATCCCAATTCTATTTTTGCACCCCTACCCCTTCCTTTTCCCCTTCCCCTTAGCCCTTGCAACCGAGGGTTAAGGGGAAGGGCTTCAAAATGTACCCCTAAGAATGGGGACAGCACTACATCACCTGCACACGTCATCATATGCCCTCAGGATCTCTTGCTTCATATGAGATCAGACGATGACGACTGCTGTAATTATTCCAGTTGTGTTATTTTTTGGTATTTATCTTCAGGAAAGCACTGAAGCCATGTATTATGTCATCAAAAAGATCTAATGTGGCGATAAGACTGTAATGGTACTGTGCTTTTACACAGTGGCCATATTCATTAACGTAAACACACTAAAAAACAACATCAACATTATAGCACACAGTGTAAAAAGCCCATTCCCAGCCACTAGACTTTTCTGACGGGGTATTCCAGTGTCATCGAGTGTCAGAATGTTGTGAGACTGCTGTACAGAATTTATTATTAGGGATTATAGATAGCAAAATTTACCGGTTTTTATTTTAGCGTTTTTTTTAAAATGATGGTAAAACATGAACGCTGTTATGAATATATTAAAACGTGTTTGTTTGTTGTAAAAATTCGTAATAATGACAAAGAGCTAAGAATGACCAAGAGGTGACACTCTAGTGTAATTTGGGAAACAGCCACTAGAGGGTGCGGCGGCTATTTTGGAATGAAAACTCAAATAGAACTACAGCATATCATAGTCTGTAAAATAAACAATTAAAAGTGCTGATGATTGTGATAGTAAGTGTTGTATTGTTGTCTTTCAGGTTATATCTCAGCTTTAATGCGCTTTTTAAATAAATAAATAAAAAACAAAGCAGCTGCTTGCCATCGCGACAGTAATGAGATCCAATGGACGGCCGATCACTTTCACTCCAAAATTGCGAAATCCAGGGCTGTTGCTGGGCGCTGCTGTTGCAATGAAACGTTCTATGGAGTGTTGCCTCTTGGTTATTCTAAGCTCTTTGATAATGACAAAAAAGTACTAATTAGTGGATCTCCTTACTTCCGGGTGCAGCTGGAGCTGGTGTATTCTGGGAAATTTTACCTACCCCTTTGTTTCGAGTGTGGTCCCGAAAAATCTTCGTTTGAAGGGGTGTATACCCCTTGCCCTTAGCCCTACGCCTTCAAGCTAAACAGAATTGGGACACCACTACCCCTTCACGGGCACGCGCTAAACGAGGGGTAAGGGTTAGGGCTAAGGGGTAGAATTGGGATTGGGCCTTAGCATGCCACCCTTGATAGAGCTGCTAAATATCACCTTGGGACCGTGTCCCACGGTTAGCTCCGACTTTCTGTTTTTAAGTGCAAAATGTAAACTATTGTAGTGGTTCTTTTTTCCTTATTACAAGTTAGTTAGGTAGTAGACTATATTAGTACCGTAAATAGATTCTTTTTGCAGCAAAGTTTGGCATTTGACACAAATGCCAAACTTCCTCCTGGAATACTCTTCAGTCTGAACTAAAAATATCAGAGCTCATCTCAATTACATCGTTTCGCTCTATCCTTTTTAACAAACAACAGCAGTCCATTTCAATGTATGCGTTTTTAATATATTGTAATGTGGTATAGCTGAACAACTAAACTGTATTTTTATTTATTCATTCATATTCTTGTCAGCTTAGTCCCTTTTTTTAATCCAGGGTCGCCACAGCGGAATGAACCGCCAACTTATCCAGCAAGTTTTTACGCAGCGGATGCCCTTCCAGGCATCTCCCATCTCTGGGAAACATCCACACACACATTCACACACACACACTCATACACTATTGGACAATTTAGCCTACCCAATTCATCTGTACCACATGTCTTTGGACTGTGGGGGAAACCGGAGCACCTGGAGGAAACCCACGCAAATGCAGGGAGAACATGCAAACTCCACACAGAAACGCCAACTTAGCCGAGGTTCGAACCAGCGAACTTCTTGCTGTGAGGCAACAGCACTACCTACTGCACCACTGCCTCGCCCTCTGTGTGTTTATATTATATAAATGTTTTATTTATTAGGCTGGCTTGTGAAAGCCAGACTACTGAAATCCTTTCTAAACGTATTATTATTTTTACTTATTTATTATTCTTCTTCTGAGACTGAAATTTCAACTCTATCTCCTCCTAAAGCTTTCAAGCTATGATCACCAAACCTAATCCAGACCTCAAAACTGATCTGACTTAGGATGCCATATCTTTTCCGACTGATCCGACTTACCATTTTGCGAAAAACATCTCGAAACTGTCGGAAAAATTCCATAGACTTTACATTGGATCAAACTTTGTGACCTCATAACTTTGCATCAGACTGTCGCAAAAACTTCTAACTGGGCTCATTTAACTCAGACTATCAAACTGCCAATGACTGATTACCTTTAAACTTTTTATGTCCCTTCAATTCATTATTTTAAGAATCTTTTGGTGTGCTTTTTTGAAATTAATTTGTTTTTATGTATCGTCTAAAAAGTGATGTATTTAAATAAAATATGTGTTTAATGTTCTAAATTAAGTGGCGAGGCAGTGGCGCAGTAGGTAGTGCTGTCAGCTCACAGCAAGAAGGTGGCTGGGTTGCTGATTCGAGCCTCGACTCAGTTGGCGTTTCTGTGTGGAGTTTGCATGTTCTCCCTGTGTTTGCATAGGTTTGCTCCGGTTTCCCCCACAGTCCAAAGACATGCGATACAGTTGAATTGGGTAGACTAAATTGTCCGTAGTGTATGAGTGAGTGTGTGTGTGAATGAGTGTGTGGATGTTTCCCAGAGATGGAATGCTGCTGGAAGGGCATCCGCTGTGTAAAAACTTGCAGGATAAGTTGGCGTTTCATTCGGCTGTGGTGAGCCCGGATTAATAAAGGGAGCAAGCCAACAAGAAAAGGAATGAATGAATGTTCTAAATTACGGCTTTTATTACAAGTCATCAATTTAGAATTATACGGTTCTATCTGACATTTTCGTCAACATTGAGTTATTGACATATTCTTATTAAATGATTAACATTATGGCATTTTTTATAAGTTGTTTAAATTTTAACTTTTAAATTTTTTACATTTACATTTTAACTGATCCACCAATCAGATGATTCTTTGAAATTGACTTTTTATTTAAAAAAACATTTTAAAAAACCTTATAATTCCAAAATATATCACAAAATAATTGCATGACATACATGCTTCAATATAAAATATGCCATTAAAGTGTATTCTAATTTACTATAAATTAAATTCAATTAATATAATAAATTTAATTAATTGTCAAAATATTTAGCAGGAAATTTGATCCATATTTCAAAGACAACCCAAGCTCTACTTGGGTCAGAAAGAACACTTAGATAAAAAAAAAATCCATTAAATAAAACCAAACTAAAATATTAAATTAAATTTGGTATACACCTTAGTATACTGCTGGTATAAATATTATATTTTGTTTATATAATCATATATAATTATATTCTTACACTTTATTGTACTTCTTTTTCACAAGGGGTTACATCAGTGGTTTACATGAAAATGCTTATTATCTTGTTTGCAAATAAAAAGCATAGTGTTTTTTAACAGAAAAAAATAACTGCACTTTCTTATTTTCTTTTCGGGTGAAGAACTTAGCCACTGTGAACAAAAACACAAGCCATGCACGTTCACCAATCAGCCAAGCTCTGCACCCGCTCAGAATGAGTTGTTTTGCTGGTGGAGATTTCCCTCATTTCTGTCTGTGTCCTCATGAACTGCTGGTAATGCCGTGGTAGTGTGGTAATCCCTGGCAATGTGATTTTTTTTTACTACAGTCACAAATCAGCATGCCAAGAACCCACACAGCCACAACAAGCTGGAGACCCCCGTCATCCCACCCAAACTCCTGCCTCTGCACGCTTGGCTTCACTTTAGGTATTTCCCTAATTATCCACTACACCCAGATAAGAGTCTTGAAGGAATTTTCTCCCTGTAATGGCTAGAAAGATAAGGGCTTTGAAATTAACAGTTAATCATTGCTTATTGCGTCCAGTGAGATTAATTCATGAGCTTTGTGAGGTACAGATGTGGAGAAAGAGATGTAAATCTTACAAAGTTTATCATTATCTCCATTATTATATCTCTTGGTAAATATACAGTGATGTTCTTTTCACACTCAGTTAACTTTGGGTCGTTCAAAGTCTCATGTAAAAAACATAATGGATTATATTTCTTCACATTCATCACTGCTCATAATTTAACCATTTTTAGCATTTAATTCATGAGTATTCCTAAATTCATAAGTCACACTGTAGTAATGCATTTTACATATTTGGGGTATACAATACAATTATTGGATTAATGCATGTTGATATGTACACTGTGAAAAAAATCTGTAATTTTATGGTTCATTTCCATAAAAAAGTACATTTCTGTAATTTAATGTCAGTTATTTTACAGTAAATTTCTGTAATTTAACAGCTGTTATTTTAGGTTTTTGTTTCGGCACCCCAGCTGCCAGAAATAAACTGTAAAATTACAGATTTCTTTTACAGTGTACAATAAAAGCTTTAGCATTGTGCATTCTCAGTATACATTACGGACTATACTATCAAGTTGATCCTGAATGGATTTTTTTGGTACATAAAATAACAGTCAAGCTGTTAATTTACAGATATTGTTTGTCATTTTTATGCACTTTTGAAAATAAAATAACAGAAAAAATACTGTATAAATAATACTGTAATTTCCCTCTATAAAAACAAAAATGTCAGTATGTCTTTAATGGTAAAGTACTTAAAATGTAAGTCAAACTGTTAATTTAGAGAGATTGTTTGTAATTTTATTTAGTTTTGAATATAATTTGATATTACAAAAAAATACTGTAGAGATATTTTCTGTAAAAAAAAAAAAAAAAAAAAAAAATATATATATATATATATATATATATATATATATTTTTTTTTTTTTTTTTTTTTTTTTTTAATAGTATAGATAAAACTTATAATAAAGGATTTTTTGTTGCTGTAATCTTACTAGGAAGCAATGTAGCCAATCAAACACTCCTGTGTGGAACATCAGAGTCCGTGTTTCATTCAGATTGGCCTGTATTTTTACTAGGATTTACCCTGACATGATTTAAATGATAACAAAGAAATTATGTTTGAAGCTCATGTTGTGTCATTTACATAAACTGAAATCATACAAGTCAGCTATGCCTGGGTATATCAAGATTTTCAGTTTATGGCAAGTCTATTTCTTATATATTCCTGGCATGCAGAAACACAGACAGTCACATATTTCCAGTAAGCCTGCATGGTTTTCAACATGAGGCAAATGATTGTGTGTAGACATGAGATGCTAACGCCACATTTGTCACCACAATAAATAATTTGTCTGCTGCATTTTGGAAAACACAATCATTAATAACAGGCTTTCAAAAATAATTTAGTTAATTATATTATTTTAGTTAATTGTGTTAAATTTACCATGTAAACTACAAAAATGTGATTTTATGAAAATGGTCACTGTTGATTATTGGATTAAACGGTATCATGTGTTCAGCCTACAGTATATGCAAAAGTGAGAACTGGTCTATACAAGTTCTCTCAGCAAGATTTTAATGCACCTTTTCTGATGTAAACTCTTCACTTGTGATTATATATTTAAGGTAGTGCTCATGGTCATTTGCCTAAAAATTTCTAGCATGACTTGAATGCAGTGTACTTGATAGCAAAGCAACAATGGTGGATTACAAAGCTGTGTGTCTGAGTGTGTGTTTTTGCTCTGCAAATTTTTGTGCAGCATTTTGTTGTTTTCACAAGTGAATGGGGATCGTGTTGAAAATGTTTACAAAAACTGCCTTACAAAAACTGAATTCAAACACATTGTCAGGTTAACAACAAGTGTGAAACATTCCTCTGCTACAGTTTAAGGTTTGAACAACAATAACCCCCAGATAAATACAGTGTGAAAAGCCCTACACTTTAATAATGCTTTTTAAAGGAGTCTTGTGTGTTCATAAAACAGTTTTTATTTATTTCATTTCGTTTCATTACTGTTCTAAAATGTATTTACAATTCCATTTAAATTAATCTGTTTTCATTTGAAGGTATTTTTAAATGTAATTTATTCCAGATTCCTTAATTTAATTATTATTATTATTATTATCATCATTGATTTTTGGGGGATTTAATTTTTTTCAATTTTTTTGTTCATTAAATCAGCATTTTCGAATTAATTCTAAATGAAGGTTTTTGTGACATTAAACATGTGACATTTGTGACATTTAGCTTTCTGAATCAGTTACATTTTAAAACATATTACAATAGGAGTAATTATTTAAAATTGTGATCATATTCCATTGTATAGAGCAGAGATGGCCAAACTAGGGTCTGTGGGCTAAAGTTGGCCCATAGTAACCTTTAATTTGGCCATCTGAGAAGAAGAGGGAAAATTTTAGGGAGTGTTGGGGTTAATGCCTTTAATACACATTTGCCCATTGGTTGGGACTTGTGGAGCTGCGCATTGATGGATTTGCTCCTCAGTGTTTGGACTTTCAGCTGTGAAATTTAAACCACACTGAACTGAACTGAACTTCAACTCTGAAAACTGAAGTGACACATTTTCAACTTGAACTTCTATTTTAAGCTGCTTTGACACAATCTACATTGTAAAAGCGCTATAGAAATAAACATGAATTAATTAATAAATTAAATATATTTTTTTATAAAAATATTGTTACTGAATGGATAGACCACAATTCAGAAGTCCTCCTCAGTGAACAAATCAAGGCTAAGGCAGGTGCAATTAGTGTATTCGGTATTAAACTCCGTTTTCTTTATAACAGTTTCATTATAAACTGTCAAAAATAAATAATGTATTAGTTAATACAATTAATGATTAAGTAATTTTTTGTATTTATTTTGAAATGAATGAGGAAATTATCATATTATAATACAGTAAGAGCGACACAATGGGGCAGTAGGTAGTTCTGTCGCCTCACAGCAAGATGGTCGCTGGGTTGCTAGTTCGAACCTCTGCTCAGTTGGCGTTTCTGTGTGGAGTTTGCATGTTCTCCCTACGTTTGCGTGGGTTTTCTCCGGGTGCTCAGGTTTCCCCCACAGTCCAAAGACATGCGGTACAGGTGAATTATGGGCTAAATTGCCTGTAGTGTATGAGTGTCTGTGTGTGTGTGTGAATGTTTCCCAAAGATGGGTTGCGGCTGGAAGGGCATCCGCTGTGTAAAAACGTGCCGGACCCCAGATTAATAAAAGGACTAAGCCGACAAGAAAATGAAGGAATGAATAAACAAATACAGTTGGATATATTTACCTTCGGCCCATGGCCATCAATCAAGTTTGGTTTTTGGCCTTTCACAAGAAAAAGTTTGGGCACCCCTGGTGTAGAGGTTTTCTTGTATGAACAAATATATTTACCAGTGGAGAGAAGAAACTATAAATAATTTACATGGCATTTAAAGGAACTTCAGAGAATACCACAGCATCACCATGGTACATGTCCATAAATTATAGCTGTCTTGTAATTAGTGGTGTACTGTAGCTGTATGTGCATTTTGTATTACAGCCATGAGAGCAGATGAGGTTACACGGTTTATTATAAAAGCCGTTTACACATTTACTTGCCACCCAAGTCGAGCTAACACGATTAAATAATTAGAAGAAATCATTAGTCTTGTGTGAACATTTTAACAGTTTTAAATGCCTTTGAAGGATGTTTTATGAGAACCATTTCACTTCTGACGTCCTCTATTTGGCTTTTCTCTCTGTCTGATGTTTGTCATATCTCTAAATGAAGTCATTTGCTTTACAATATGTGGTGAAGGAAGTGTAAAAAACTGACGCCACATCAAACAGGAATAAATCAAACTGACTGCAAAATAAAGTGCAGCCTGGTGTGATGTGAATCTGCAAGCCTCACAAACTCCAAAGATGGACTGTAATTCTCCAGTCTTAATGCTTCGAGCTCTTCTGAAACGTCCAGCTCATTCCGGCCTTTTGTGGAGTCGTGCACAGTTATTAGACTGCAAAACAAAGAAATATGAATCAGAACTGAATGACTATTTCTGTGTTGATTGTTTTAGAAATTGTCGAAAGCATATTACTCTTTTAGATTTTGTACATTTTTAGCTTTGTCTGTCATGTTTCCCACTTCCCCTTTAGTTCACAGTATAAATATTAAAAACATTGGAGCAATTACATGCAAATGGCAGCCAAAATAGTGAAACCCTTTCTATGTTGTTTGTTTGGGTTTGTATTTACACTCAAAAATGTCTGTTAATGTTTTCAAACAATATATGTGATTCACCAAGTGCCCATTTCACATCAGTCACATCCAAAACACAGAGGTGTCACATCCATAACAAAGTTTTTTCCACAAGTTTTTTGCAAAAAAGTAGTAATAAAAAAAGGATAGCATTGTTTCTTTTCACGGAATATCTACAAAGTACACTATATACTGTTGTTACAATCACCAGAAATCTAGCCTGTGCAAATCGCAGGAAAACACTCACTTTACTACACATCTCTCACTGGTATGAATCACAGATCCCAATATGCACCTCACACACACACACCTGTTCCTGTTCTCTCCCTGATTATAAACAGCTAATACTCATGAGGACTAATGACCTGGACTATTTATACACCTCACTTTGACATACACTTTGCTGAGTCTTGTAAACTGTAAGGGAGCATTTCTAAGTGTTTCCTTGTCCTGCCTTGTGTGTTTTTTTACCTTTGCTTTGTTTTACTGTTTACGTTGTTTTGCTGCCAGTTTCAACCATTTGCCTGTTTTCTGACCACCTACACCAGGGGTGGCCAACCCTGTTCCTGGAGAGCCACCTTCCTGCAGATTTCAGTTGCAACCCATATCAAACACACCTGCCTGTAATTATCACGTGGTGTTCAGGTCCTAATTAATTGGTTCAGGTGTGTTTGATATGGGTAGCAACTGAAATCTGCAGGAAGGTGGCTCTCAAGGAACAAGGTTGGCCACCCCTGACCTACACTGTAAAAAGAAATCCTGGTTGAGTTAAAATTTTAAGCTGAATCAAATTAACCTTATGAGTCCATTAAACTTATATTATGGTAAACTGATTTAAAACAGCTTGTGTAACTTATGAAATTAAGTTAAAACATGATTAATTTAGTTTGATTAATTGCAATGAACTAAAAACATTTGCTGTCATGACTAATTGATCATATAATCTGTTACAGCGTACATGCTCATGTCTGTTTCTGTTTTGACCTTTTCCTGCATGACAAATCTCTTGATAAACTGCATTTGGATCCTCACCTCTGTTGTCAACCTTGCTCATTACAGTAGTGAACTCGCATACTTTTTTGTCACATCCATAAAGCCTGTTCATTTTCCTAATTTAAATATAAACAGAATGGTTCAATATAATGTTAACATATACTTTCTCTAGGAATTTGTTCAGTTTTTACTGTTTTTTCAGTTTTTTAATGCTGAAATTGCTCATTGTTTTAAAAAAAAAATCTATTAATTTTTTTCAATTAAATTATTAGGGATATACATTATATAAAAAGAAAATAAATAAAAATCATATTGTGATAGTAGATTGTTTGATTGTTTGTTTATTTTCACAATTTATGATGATATAGCAGTCAAAATAGGTCAAATGAGAATATAGTGGGAAAAATTCTGGACCTTTGTCAGTGGGAGGGGTAGTTCTTTCGAACCACCTGAACCCCTCCAGGCTACAGACCTGACTTACGTAGAATAATTTTGCTTGCACGGTCCAAATTAAATTAAGAAGTAACAAATATTGTGCCACTAATAAGGTCAGTGAAATCTACTTTAAAATTGTACATAAAATATATCCAACCAACATTTTCTCTCTTTCTAAATCTTGTGTTTTTTGGCTAAAGGATGTTGAGACTGCAATGCATGTTTTTTTTTTTTGATTGCATGTATGTTAAATATTTCTGGTTTGGTGTTGAATGTCTAGTTAATATAGTGAGTGGTCATAGAATTAAGATAAAGAAAAGAGATTTCATATTTTATGTAGATAAAAAGATATAGATAAGAGTCTGTTGCTTATCTTAAATCTTTTGATATTATCTCCTTTCTTTTTGTTATTTTACTTACATGATTTATGCTAAATTGTGAATATCATATTGTGAGATTTTGTTATTTAGGTAGGATTATTGAATTATATTGCAGGCCAAATTCAAGATATTGGTGAGGCCACACAACGACGTAGAAGCAGGTTGCCATATTGACGATACCAACAGGCGTAGGGGTCGAGTCTTACTTACGAGTCTTAATTGTCACGTAAGTTGCTTGGCTAATGTTTACATTTGAAATATTTGTAATATTTGCTAATTAAAAACCACCTTATGGGAATTTTTGTAACTCTAAGGGCTCTATCATACACCCGGCGCAATGTGGCGCAAGGCCACTGCCTTGTATACTTCTTTATCTTGGAAGGCTTTTTCAGGTCATTCAATTTGCTTTTGTATAATGTTATTATTATTAGCAGTATTATTTATTATATCCATATTTATATTTGTTTTATTAAAAAACAAGCTTAGATTTGTCCACTTGTTAGGTTATAGACCATATTGAGCACAGCATATGTTTTTGGATATAACTCAGGTTTTTGAACACACTTTGTTATTATTGTTCATTTATTTGTTTGCTGGAAATTAGAACTGAATTTAGAAATAGTTTTGAAACAAATCTTTGCGCTTAACAAACAAAATTAATTATTTATAGGCTAATTGATGTCTGTGCGTAAAGGTTTCCCTATCCATGAGAGCGAAAGCGAAAGTGAACTTACTTTACGTCATGTAAATAGCAAATGCGCTTATGGCGCGACACAGCTGGTTCTTAAAGGGAATGGGAGATGAGACTCTGATTGGTTTATTCTCTAAAACACACCTAAAACTCATTAAGAAAATAAACTCAACCATTTTAGACCATGCGCCATGGCGCAAATCGGATTTTCCCGTCCTCATATTAGCACATATGGATTCTGACACGCCGTGAATGCGTTTGCGGCCTGCGCTTTCCGTTTTGCGCATGGACCGTCAAAATAGAACCCAAAATCTGTGTCTCATTTTGGAGGCTGTGGATTTTTATAACTCTGAATCTGCATCTCATTTTGGAGGCAGCAACTGACCTCCAGAGTAGGCTGAAACTAAATGTACTACTTAGAGTGGCAAATATAAATTGGTAAAACTTGGGTGCAGTTACCGCCAACCAAGTGGGACATGTTCCTGGATTATATGTTGATCCTGGTTCAGGCCTACGGTTAGGTTTATGCACTTCCAGGGTTCCCACAGGTCCTTAAAAAGTCTTAAAATGTCTTAAATTAAAATTCGGGAAATAAAGGTCTTAAATTGTCTTAAATTTACCGTAAAGTGGCTGTTAGGTATTAAATTTTCAGCCAGTGTGCTTAATGACGATAGGGAAGCACAGTGGTCCACCGTAAAACATCTAATAGTTGATCATTTTAGTATGTTTGAAACAGGAGAGAAATGACAGTCACCATGATTTTTTAGCTTATTACGGTAGGTTAGCTACAGACCATTACGTTGGACTGCACCTGCGTGCTGTCATTACGCGGATGCCGAGGTGAGGTTCAAAATGCAAAGATGGGAAAGTGTACATTTCACGACGTGGCAATGAGGCAACGTGTAAATTCTGCAAAAAGACCTTTTCGTCAGGCATCATGGGGCTCAAAGCCGTCGAGTTGCACATGAAATGAGGAAAGCTGCACCAACGTTGCAGCAGCTAGTCATAGCGGGTCCAGGTTAATCTCTGCATGATCTTTGCCGAACCCGACGGACTTAGTTTCTATCATTTTAGACGGGGTCGGGCTTGGGCTTGCGCAGTAAATGATCAGTCATGTGAAGCATTTCGATTAACGCAGAAAAAGTAATCAAACCGTTTATTATAACATTAAAATCCATCCCTGCAAAGGTGAAACTAATGATGACAGAGAAGATAAAAAAAAAATAAAAATTTGAATTTAGCAGGTTAGCTGCTAGTTCAAAAAGAACAGTCATTCTAGCCGCCAAGGTATTTCGGCGGTCGCTCATACACTGCATATTACGGTAGTGTGCTGAACAGTTATGTAAAGCCAGCTGACAGGGAAAATGAAATGAATGTGTTTGACTGGTGGAAGATGAACAAACAGACCGCAGACCCCACCTCACAGTCAGCTATAACAGTTTAATTTCACCGCCAGACACTCAAAGGGCATGTACTGTGGGTTATCCATACAGTGACGAGCCACAATTCATTTAAATCTAACAAGGAATTTTTTGGGTCTTAAATTATATTTGTTGAGGTCTTAAAAAGCATTCAATTTTACTTTTAAAAGGGTGCAAGAACCCTGACTTCTACATGATTGTTATCCAATTATTATTCCCCTCTGATTTTAGGAATAATGTACAGTAATGGTTGAGCTTAGGGGTAGGGAATAGGTATGCATTACATTTTTGAACAAAAATGATGTTTCAGGATTGCATCATACATGACAAAATCATGACGTGTGTGGAGTTACTCAGACCAAAATAAAGACAGATATTCTGACACACTTTTTTAAAGGAGAAAAACTCTAGTATTGTTTTTAGTGTGTTTGTTTGCCTAGCATGTTTCTGTAATCTGCAAACATATTATTGTGTTTTATGCTTTAGAAGAGTCAAAAACTTACATGCAGCACTTATTCTTTTTAAAATATTTTTGTGTAGATGCATTACTTACTCTAATTAAACTAAAACATTTCATAGAATAGTGTATTAAAAAGCAATTTTCAATGCAGTTTTTATTTAAACATTGTAAATATTGACAAAAAAAATGTTGCTGTTGACCTGATTGTGCTTGCCCCTGCTTGCAACTGTATTTGTAATTATTATTATATCATCTATACTTTATTATAAATCTTTTGGTTTGATCTCCTTTGGTGGACAGCCAACATTTTGTGAAGGTTAGTATCCTCTTTTGCTGATCCTTATTCTCCTTCCAGCTGTGCTCCGCAGCTCTCGAAAG